CCAAGTTTAGAAAAGAAAACCTTTTTCTTTTTTTAGTGTACTTAATTTAAGGAGTAAATTACACTGTTGCATTTTGAACTATTCATTTTTTGCATAATAGACTCTAAGCTTTCAATTTTAGTAAATTACACCTTAAATTTAAAATCAATTGTTAGCTGACGACATTATTAAATTGATAGTTTAATACATGATATTTGCACGTGATATGGTTTGAAAATGATGATCTTTACCTTTTATGTGCAAATATTATATGTTAAACCATCAATTTGATAACATTTCATAACTATTGGACCTCAATTGTAACTAATTTTAAAATTCAGGATGTAATTTGTCAAACTTAAAAGTTTAAAGTATATTATGTAAAAATTAAATAATTTAGGGTGCAACAATGCAACTTACTCTAATTTATAAGAGTTTTGAGTGTTTTGTGTTATCGAACTTGGCTCTTTTCAAGTTTCTCCCTGGATCTAAAATCTATGCCGTTTGGAATGCCTGAAAATGAAGGTAGTCCACATTTGACCGACCCTACACCGAAAAAATATTAAACAAAATATTTGGTACTGTAGCACAACAATTTTTTTTGAAGAGGAAAGTTTCATTTAATAATTACGTCGATACCATACACTAATATAGTTCTAAATGACCATTAAATATAAGAGTAATTGATCATAAACAAAAACTGAATCCACCAATAAAAACAAGGAGACGCAAAGACGAACATTCAACATTCGACAAAATGTTGAGATCCAATAAGAAAAGACCCGCCTAACAAAACTAAAAAATTGCAAATTTTTTATCTCTATATAGTTGTATCAAACTTGAGCTTTGCTTCTATGCTAGAGTTCTACAGATGGATCCAAAAAGATTTTGTAGGCTAGATAATGGTTTGCTGGTATGATACATGTTTCTAAGCTCTCCACAAAACTATCTTAATTTTTATTTTTTTTATGTCCCTTTGAAATGTGTGATTATCTTTCATGAGATCTCTTCATCCATTCTAAGTTAGCAAGTTCGATAATTTGAATTGTGTAAAGATTATACAAAAAAAAAAAAAAAAAAAATTACCACCATATAAGTGATAATATATACGTTGGATTAATAGATTTAAAACCATTTTTAATTTACGTGTATTTTTTATAAAAAAAAAATACTGTAATGAATCACGAACCATGATTCGAATATGGCACGAATCCACTGACTAAACACGAATTGCCATATATACCGCAGTGGTATGTTACCAGCAATGACGAATAATAGTGCTTAAAAAACAGTGCCCGTTTTTATCAAAATATCAAATAGTATGCTTATATCCTGTGCTTGCTTGAGTATGTTAATCAGTTAATCTATTGTTAACGAAAAAAATAAAATAAAATAATAAGAATGCCTTTATGCATTAAATTAAACACTGTAGTACGCATGCTCGTATTCCGTTCCTCTACCAACTTCAGAAAAGAAAACATTTTCTCTTTTGTTTACTGTGCTTTTTTAAAAGTGTTTTGTGTAATTCAACTTGGCTCTTTTCAAGTTTTCCTACTTGTATATCAATCTATGATGATGCTGTTTGGAAAGCCTGAAAATGAAGGCAGTCCACTTTTGACCTACTATACACCATAAAAGGAAAAAAAAAAAAAAAAGGATAACTTTTGGTAATGTAGCATAACATAGCTATATGGTATGGAAGATAAATAAATAAATAAATTGCAAATTTTTATCACATCGCACCATGTTTTGAGCAAGTGCTTAATGTTGAAATCTTTGGTGTACTTTTAGGCCGAAAACATGGACCTCACAAATTGAGTGTTTGCCTCCAACTTTTCTTGTTAAAAGTGAAAATGCCCGCAACTGTTTGTTTGACTTGTATTGCCCTTTTCATGGAGGGTCCTCTAGAAAACTAGAATCTCTCTCTCTCTCTCTCTCTCTCTCTTCACATAATTTGTATAATATTACAGACAATGACGAATATTCATAAGACCCCTATGTCCCATCACAATGTATATTTCTAGACGGCAGTCAAATGCAGAAAGATGCTTTTACCAATATGTGGTCTTCTACAGAATATTGGGATTCCTTACGGTGAAACCCAACGTGGGATTTTTTATTGTTAGATTATTTTTTAATAATTAGATTTATAGCAGGAATAGTTTTTTTATTCATGTAAATTTTTAATATAAGATTATATAGATCTGACTATTAAAAAGTTAATTTAACGATTAAAAAAATAGTGAAGTGCTTATTAGAGTTCCACTAAAAAGAATACCACAAAAAATTTCATATACCTAATAAACAAATTAAATTTCTAGCCAGTTGGACATGGCATGGGTTGGAGATGCTGATGTTCACCGGCAAAGACCCGGATGGCTGAATCTTTGGAGCGGAAAGATTTTTTGCAGTCAACGGATATTTTGATCGCGAAAAACTCTTGGCATCCGGAGTGGCTATGGAGGGCAACGCATTGACTTGGTATCAATGAGAGGACGACCGTCGACTGTTTTTTAATTGGAACAAATTTAAGGCTTACCTACTGAAGCGCATTTGGCCAATGGAAGAAGAGCCCGTACATGAGAAAATTCTTGACGAATTAGCTACCACGACTGATTGCAGACAACAATTTGAGGTACTTGTTGCGTCTTGGAAAATAGGTTTGCCGGCGGGGAAGACGGACAAAGGTGTTGCACATGAAGAGAATTCTCTACTCGAAGATAAAGACGATGGGCTTGAAGACTTGTGGAATGAAAGGGACAAGGCATTAGAATTTTCCAAGGAAGTCATTGTAGCTCCTTCATCAGTTGAACAAGGACGAGCAGTTGAAGAAAGATTTTCTTGAAGAAGGTGGAGCATATGCTGCAACAAGATAAAGGTGGTCGTAGGCAGATGTTAGTGGTACATGACCTATTTGAGATGACCAACCACGTCCTGCACTGTTACAAGGATGATTCTTGGGATGAACAGATTGGCTTCGTTGACTCCCAAGTGGTTCTCAATCGTTGTTGCAAAAAGAGGTGTGAAGTCGGAAAAATTAAGAAGTCGACAGGAAAATTTGAAGCAAGTTCCGTACGAATTATCCCATTCGTCGTTCCAAGATCCAAACTCATCAACATAGGAAGGAAATGGAATCACACGGTTGTGATTTCTTGACCTACACCTTAAGGACAATGTGTCTTTTGGGCCAATAATGATAGGAACTGGAAGTTAGTTGGTTAAGTGATTGTTTAGTTGTTATTTGTTAGTATTTTCTTAAGCAGTTATTTATCAGTTTGTTAGAGGTAGTATTAGAAAAGGAAAATGTTAGTAGTCAGGGGATGGGGGATTTAATGAGTGTGAAATTGGGAAAACTCTTTGGGAGAGCTAGCAAACCTCTCAAAAGTCTGCGAATCTATTTTGTAATTATGTTTCGGTATTGTTTTCAATAATAAAATTTCTTAGTTTTTATCAGATCACAAGTTATATGATTTAAATTATCATGTTGATAGTATGGAATTAGACTAAAAGTATCTGACACCGTTGTAATAGTGATGTTAAAAGTGCCTGTTTGGTAAATGGGTATTTGGTTCAAACCGGTGTTTGATAAATCTTTTTATAGTTTGGTTCAAACTACTAATTTGATGTTTTGAACTAAAAACACCTCAAAAGTAATATACCCCCGGTTTTCAATGGTCTGAACTTAAAACTTAATAATTAATGGTTTGAACTAAAACTTAGGGCACGTTTAGTTCGCTGATTCGAGTTGAGATATGACTTTATATAAGAGTTTTTTTACTGTAGCAAAAAAGTTAGATGTGACTGTTTTTGAGAACTTTTTACTGTAGTAAAACTTGAATTTTAAACTCGAATCAGTGAAATGAACGAGGCATAATAATTAAAGTAATATACCCCCGGTTTTCAATATGGTTTGATAAATCGTTTTAATGGTGATGTTAAAATTTGTTGTCTCTCTGGTCTTGAACGTAAAATCGTTGGAAACTTACTTCAAGTTGTCCCTAAGTATCATAATTACAAAGACCTAAAGGATGACAACTAAGGTTGGACAAGCATTCCTAATCGACTTGTATGCGTGTGTCCCAAGTCAGGTAGTGTACTTCTGTGGATTAGTTAGTTAAAATTGTGTTGATTTTTAATCAACTTTTATTTCGTATCTTTTATTGATGGGACGGATTATTGTTGCATGTGGTTCTTCTCGTGGCCATTTCATGTCTTGTCATGACAACATGATGGAACAACTTGGTCTATCAGGACCATCACCGTAGTACAATTTAGTAATTAGCTCCAATGTAAGCATTGGAATGTCCTCATCCAGGTTTGACTGAACAATGTTCCAAATGTGACTCTCCAGAAGAAAATAGAATTTGGGGGAAAAAAATGTTACCGGGCCAGGGACGGAGCCAAAAAAATAAGTGACAGCGGTGGGGCGTATACTAAAATTATCGAAAGAAACGAACCGGGTGGCTATTATGTGGTGGGGTAAAATCAAAATTCAGAATTAAAAGAAAAAAAATATTTCAGGTAGGATGGCCGCCTATTCTTGTCTGTACGTGGCTCTACGGCCACCAGTGTTGTTCAACACCATATATTAGTGGAAGGTGTTCTTATTACACCTTTTATTAATGTGTGCTGTTGGATCGTGCTAGTGCCTCCTACATTATTCAATTTAGAGCCCCGTTACCACTCAACATGCCACAGTTTTCTCTTCCATTACTTACAGTAGCTTTAGGGCCTACAAGGGCAGCTTTCTAAATGTGACAAATTATCTAAGGAAGGTGGGTTATGTCCTAATTTCATATGAAGAAGAAAGATTAGATAGTGAACTGAATTCTCACTTCAGAACAAGAAGAACTAATTTTTTTTGTTTCAATACATTTGGTGGGATTTCTTTCTAATTTAGTTGATTTGTATCATTTACAAAAATCTACTAGGGAGGATCTTAAGAGAGTAATCATACAACATTCCTGATGCTCCTATACAGATTGTGTTATATATATATATATATATGAGACCCTTCACAAGACAAATTACACATGATTTGGATCTTCAATCCTTTTGGATCTTAGAAGCTTAAGCAGCATTCTTGCCATTGTTTTGGTCCTTCCATTGCACTGGCTTTGGAGAAGCAATAATAACTGAGTCAACACCCCAGCTTCAATGGCTTCTTCCCTTGCCAGCAAGGAGCCATAACAAACTATCATAAGCGCTCCGACGGCGCTCTCACTGCCCTCGTGATCCGACACTCGAAAAGCCTTCTTAACAAGAGTGCTAATCCCATTCGGGTTACTGATCAGTTCCTCTTTTGCACTCTCAACTGATAAAAGCTTCTCAAGTGTGGCCATTGCCAATGCAGCCAAGCTTTTCTCCCTCCTTTCGCTGCGAGAAACGTACGAGATTAGTCCATCTACAATGCCTTCTTTTATCAAAAGTTGTCGATTCGATTCGGGGGAAGATAGCGCCCACAAGGCTTTGATCCCAGCGTCTGAAGATTCGGAATTCTGTTGAACAAACTGAATCATCTCATGCAATAGCTCTCTGCTTTTTCCGAGCATGGAAAGAAGTTCTTTTGTCTCTGAAGATGATGATGTGATTTCTATTAGTTGACACAATTTCATCTTAATTAAACAAGTACCATTCTTGAATAAGGCTAAGAAAGCTGTTAATTTGGACTCTTCTTGAAGAACATTCAGATTGGCCAATTCGCAGAAGGGCAACAATTTCATGACACAAAACAGTGCTTGTTCTATAAACTTTGTGTTCTCTTCAGAGAGTGATTTGTCTCCATCAAATCTGCCAAAAACTTGCTCTAAAAGCAAAGGCAAGAATCCCAACTGAACCAAACACGATTTCGACGACGATTCCTCTGATAGAACTAGAATGCTTTCGAGCGCTTGAAGCTTGGCTTCCAAGGCAGCGGGGTCTTGTCTTTCCAGGCTGCGTTTGAGCGCATCAAAGGAATCAATTCTTGCCAAGTATTCGGGATCTAAGTGGTGGCCGATTTGAAGCCATCGCTCGATCAAATGTCGAAGGGTGTGGTTCGGAACCATGGTTGGATCATGAAGTGGCTGCATTGTGACCGGACATGTGAGATTACCCGCAGCCAGCCATTTTTCAATGCTTGATCTGTCATATGTTTGACCTGTACAAAGAGTGACCGGATCTTTGAACAAGTCTAGAGTAATTGGACATCTAAACAAGTGAGGAACAGCCATTTCAGCCTCTTTCATTTCATGGAACATAAACCAGTAAAACTATGTCACGAAAAGATCTCTGAATTGACAACAAAAGAAAGTGAAAACTAAAGATATCCCACTAATAGTTTACTGAAATGCAACATTTGGATATGGAGAAATTTTGACATAACAAACATTGGAAGAGTTTGTTCTGAAATTGGGTTTTGGTGTTTGATGTCATATATATCAAGAGAGAGACAGAGAGAGAGAGATTAAATTAATTGAGATATCATTGATACAGGACTAAAAAATGAGTGAAGTAAAAGGAAAGGAGGAAGGGATTGGAATGGAATAAAATAATTTGTGAAGAAAGGCTAGGAAACATAGAACATGGAGTGCAATTCTTAGATGGAGGAATCAGAAGTGAACACAGAGATACAAACAGCAGAGAGGGCCAAAATAGCCTTATCCTGGTGATAAGAGAGATTTTGGAACTAGTAATATAGAATAATAGTGGGGTTGGTCCCCCCACCTCTCTTCTTGTGTTATATTTATTAATCCAGTCAAACTGACCCACCACTGAAAAGAAATACTTTTTTATGTCTTTGAAGTTTGAATGCACAAACTAGTTAGTTTGAAACAAATAATCCAGAGAGAGACAGAGAGAGTAATGGTAATGGTATTGGTTGTCACAAGGCTCATGAGAATAGTCCATTGGAATTATTGGGATCAAACAAATGTAATTCCATGCGTCATTTAATAAAATAAGCTACCTGTTCTTTTTCACATCTCACGTGATTTGGTCAAAGAACAATAAATAAACAAAATAATAAATAATATCCCACAAATAAAAGGAGAGATTTTTATGTAAGGGATGAAAGAATACATACCCCGCTCTATTTTAAACTGTAAGATCCCAATAAAGTTCTGCCAATTTTGCATTTTTTTTTTTTTCGTTTTATTGTAATTTCAACCAAGTCTAATACTCAAAAACACGTACTACGAGAAGGTATGCCATATTTTAAAAAACTTCTAAAAAATATAATTTCTATTGATAAAAATTCTGTTTTAACCATTAGATTAAGTTTTTAACGGTACGTAATTGAAATAATTTTATGCTACGGCGCAACAAATTTTTAACGTGGTTGATTAAATATTAGACCGTTAAAAATTTAATCCAACACCTAATAAAGTTGTTCTTACTAGTAGTTAAATAGAACAATGCTTTAGTGCTTACTGTTGAAATTTCAAAAAAGAAGAAAAAAAAAGATTTTAATCTATAGTGACGTTCTACCCTTGGTTATTAAGCTACATACAGCAGCTCATTCAACATTAACTCTTTCCATTGTCCTTTTTATCCGTAGAAGATACTCAGTTATATCTGATATATTATATACAAGCTTAAACCTTTTTCTGAACACAAGGCATACATGAATTAAAGCTATTAGTAAGCTAGTTTATTTTTTCTTCCCTTTATATTCCCAAAATTTTAAAGTTATGCACACGTGCATGCACACACACAGCACTTAATGCATAAAGAACTGAATTATCAGACAGCCATTTTATGCACTTTTTTTTTTCAGTTTTCTTTTCCCTAATTTTGAATGAAAAAGAGGGCAATTAGCAGAAGAAACTTCAATAAAATCCAACTATTTTTTTTTTTTTTTCACTGATTTTCTGGCCTGGTTAGAAAATTAGATTCTTGGACCACTTCCTTCAAACGTCGGAAATTGAGCAAAAATTTTCTTATCCATCCCCTAGCCTTTTTCAAAAGTTATACAGAAAATTAATTAAGATTCTTCTAGGGTAGGGGCTACTAGAGGTAGTGTTAGTTTTTAACAGTTGGATTGAATCCGGTTAAAATCATATTAAATTAAAAGAGTATGTAGTATAAATAATTTCGGATCAAGATCAGACCATTAAAAACAGAAAATCACTGGTAGTTTATTTTTTCAAGACCTACGGAAGAATTTTCTAATTAATTGTTATAATTTTTTAGGACATTGTGGTGGTTAAATTTTAGTACATTCATTCACCCATAAGGTTAAAAAAAGGTGCATACATGAAAGAAATACTTAGGGGATTCCCCAACCTTCATCTAATGACTCTGTGGTTGATGACTTTTTGACTGGCCAAACTTTCACACCATTAATAGTCTAGATTAGTCAATATATAACAGCTCGTGAGGCCCTGAATTCTCATCCTCCGATCTTTATGATCTAACGGTCAACAACACTTTTTGTGCATGATGTCCATTTGAGGCCCTAGATATGATCCAAAGATTAAGTAATTACTTTAATGCATTATTGATCTCGGACTATTTAGAAAGACAAATTTGTTTCGATGACGAATTGGAAATTTCAAGTCATACACAATGACGTTATTGCAAATAGGAAAATTCTGCGTAAGCTATGAAGAAACTACAATACTAGCATAGTTTTGTTTTAAATGATTTGATCTGACTTTCAGTTTTTCCTACTTTTTTTATTTTGATATAATTTTTATCATATTTGTTTTACATTATTGATAAGTACCTCTGATAAAAAGCTCCTACTAAATGAATATACACAACAAATGCGATTATTAGACATAAAATAATACTATATTCATTTTTACTTACCATCATTTTAGATTAGTGTAGAAGTGAGGATGCCTTTCTTTCTTTTTCTTTTAAGATGCGCTCATAGTAAGTAGTTTATAACCCACTCTAGAATTCTTAGCCAGCTAATGTATTGTGTGGTGTTAAGGTGTGGTTTTACTCGTTTTCACTTCTTACGTGATATGGTACCAATTAATATTAGTCGCGTTCTTGTAGTAATATACATATATATATATATATATATATTTCCTCTTCTGTTTCATTTTAGGTTCAGTACCATTGATGGTGGTTTGTGCCATCTTTGCATACCTAGCAAACAAAAGTGGAGGTTACATTTTGCTAACAATGAGGTTATGAAAAGCATGCCAAAAATGCTAAATTAGGGGAAAAAGAAAAACGACAACCTACCTTTTCTTTTCCCTTAAGTCTATTAAACGCATTATGTCTTGCACATCTCTTTCAAATGAGTCGGACAAACCAAAATTATGCCCTCTATAGCAGGTAAGTTTGGCCAAAAGAAAGAGAAAAGTTTAGATGAGAGAGAGAGAGAGAGAGAGAGAGAGAGAGAGAGAGAGAGAGAGAGAGAGAGAGAGAGAGAGAGAGAGCAAAGCCCATAAATAAATGTTTAAAATTTGGAATAATTTGAAGACAATCATAAAGGCCTTTTGAACGCTATCTTGTCTGCCGTTTGAACGCATCAAATTCCGTAAAAAACTAATAGATATCCATTACGTAGTTTATTCTAATTAAGTATTTGGTCAATCATAACTCGCATGGAAAAGTCACAAAATCAAAGTAAGAATTTGCATAGTAGATTATTGGCACACGCAATCTCTTGATCCACTCATGGCACTATTTGACTGTATTACACCACCATATACAATTAATCAAACCTTCTCTTAGAGTACATGAAAGTGATATTTTATCTGCTTAAATAAAAATAAAAATATTATTACCTTAAATATTTTAATAAAAGATTATTTATCACATAACCATGCCGGACTCAATAATTTTATATAAAAAATGCTTGAGAGCATTAACACTATACTACTAGAAGGTGAATTTTATTTATTTTTTATTAGTGAATGGTATTCGACACCACATTTATCTTATAATATTATTTATTTTATATTTTGTCGTGTCACAGTTCATTCTATGTAATAATTAACCACCTATAAGACGTAATTCCTCTAATAGACATGATGGAAAGACAAATAAAAAGTAGGCTGTTTATTTTTTCTCTAATTTATCATTAATAACAATACTCTTTAGACTCATTGTTAATGATGGTTAATTTAGTTTGGGATGGTTCTATTCAAACTCCCTTTTTACTATCTACATCCACTTTTTAAATACACACCCCACTTAATTTAAAAAAAAAAATTAAATTTACTCTTTACACACCTCTATTATTCCAAGATTATCCCTAACTATTTTCATAAGATTATTAATTTTTAAAGATTTTATTTTTTTCCCGCACCCACCATTGTATTTTAATTTGCTATTTTAATATTATCATATTTTTATCTTTCTATTTTTTTTTTGAAGTTTTGAGTATGAAATCTTCTCTTTCTTTTTTTGTGAAATTATGAATTCTTTTTCTCATAATGATAACATAATTGTTACATTTATTGAGGTACTAATTAAAAAATGACAAAATAAATAAATAAATTCTAAAGAGTATAAAAAAAAATAGAGAGAATAAGACATAAAAAGAAGAAGAAAAGCAATGCAACGTTATATAAACAAAAGGTCAAAATGAAATGATCATCTTTTAAAAACAAAATGTTTAGTTAAAAAAATTGGGACAATAATATGTCGGGTGTGTTGAAAGAAAAAATATATAAAATTTAAAGGAGTTGATTGTTAAAATATAGAAAAAATATAATTAATTTTTTATTATAGAAAAAAAAATTGGGACAACAAGATGATTGTTTTTTTTTTTTTTTTTTTTTTTTTTTTTTTTTTTTTTTTTTTTGGGTTTTTTTTTTAAAAAAAAAAAATTGGGAAAAAAAAATTTTTTTTTTTTTTTTTTTTTTTTTTTTTTTTTTTGTCATTTTATATGAGGTTCTTGTTGTAAAAACTAAAAAAGGTGACTACCATTTAGTTTGCCATCAATTGGTAAAGGCCTCATCAGCTGGTGGGCTCTGAATTGTAATTATAAACCACGTGTTTGAGCAAGTTCAGGAAATTATGGCACTACATGTATATTTAATAATTACTACTTAATAGGCTGAGAATAAATTACAATTTGCTTTGGAACAAGTGGGGACATTTAAAGATAGTTTTGTTGCATGCAGCAGAAAATCCGGCTATTGTTTTGTTTTGTATTTTGTATTGGGAGGTTCCTAGTGGTAGCAAGTAAAGTGGTTTAATAAAATTATCACTTCTCTTGTACTAATTCGTTTTTTTATGTGCGCTTGAGATGTTTAATAGAACGTAACATCAATTTAATAATGGATGAAAGGAAGAAATCGGCACTGTTTTGTCGCTTTTTTTATTTTATTTTACCGGAAAATTTAATTAAAGAGGTGAATTAAGGGGACACCTTTCCTAATTCATGATTTAAAAAATAAATGTGAGAGATTTGTGAGGAAGAGAGAGTGATAATTACATGAATATCACAATCTTACATCCATAAAAAATAACGTCCCTATTAAAGACCATGAGATTTGTATCCCTCTTTTGCCATTAATTTTTCTATGATAATTATGGTAGTTTTACTTTTTTTTTTTCAAATTAAAAAAAAGAATCTATTCCTTAACTCCTTCAGTTATAGTAGCAATTTTAAACATATAAAAAACTTAATAAAAACGTCCTTATCACTACACCACGATTCTCGATGGTATGCTAGTTTTACTATTTAAATAGTTCCCTTTTGTAGTTTCTATGGTCGTATGGGACCGATCACTAGTGGACAAAGTCACTTATAATTAAATTAACTAGAAGAAAATTATTAAACTCGTCTTTAAAAGTGTATAAATTTAAAGTTTTATCACTTATTCTTAATTAATACTTTTTTAATTAATATAATATTTGATTAAAAATAATTAGTAAAAAATAAATAATAAAAATCAAGACCCATGAAACGTAAAGGGGTCTTTTAACTCCTTTTCCCTTGGTCATGAATTGAGTGACCATTAGTCGCGATTGATTAAGTGAGAGACCGTTGATCATCCATCGGGTGACCATTAGTCATCCTCAGAGTTGGTCGAACGAATAACAAATTACTTTGCGGATCTATTACGAACAGATGCTCTTTCCATGAATTCAGTGGTCACTTAACGTGTGACTAGTCACCCGATGAAGTAGTGATCATGTTTTATTTTTGTCATTTAAACAAGAAAATCAAATGAACATTAAAACTTATTGAAATGTAGGAGAATAACTATTTCAGTAACTGACTCAGAAATCTTTATCAGTGGGTTAATAATTATAATAATAAAAAGAGCAAAATTAAATTTTTACTGTTTAGTGGTTCTACGTGTATATTGATATAATAAATTATACATGTGTTATTTTATGAAAAAAATAAATTAAGTGGGAACCTATCTCCGTCCATGAGGAAGTTACCTTTACGTTTAGAATCCCACTTAAATTCAAATCACGTTTAGAATCCCATTATATTCATATTTTCAATATTCATCGCCAACTTCAGAAAAATCCAAAGCATCATGGAAACTGAATAACTTGTATTTCAACAAGGTGGCTGTAAAATATAGGAAACCACTAAATTTTGTTGATTGCAATTTTTTATTTTCGTCAAAAAGTTTTGTTTTTTGTTTTTTGTTTCTAGGAATAACATTTGGTTCAAAATAAAGCCCATTAACCTAAATTATTGTTAGTCGAATGATTCTTTGTAACTTCACTATCAGAACCTTGCCTACTAATGAATTATTTTCAAAAGAAGCAAGTTCTTTTGAACAAAATCAGTCAGAGCTCTTTATTCCTTTTTTCTTTCTTTCTTTTCTCGGGAGATACTTATACTTATGCTCTGTATTTTGAGATCATTAAAAAATTATATCATATATTTTGAATAGTTTGCATCTTTATATCTTTATAATAGTCCTCAAAATTGAAAAACGTTGCACTTACAATCAACAATGGTACGTACTCCTACCGAACAAAAGTTTACCTTTTACATTTCTATAAACTAATTTAGAGCACGTTCGGTTCAAAAATTTGAACATAACAGTTTGAATAAAAATTTAAATTTTATAAAAAAAAATATTATAGTAAAAAGATTTAAACATTAGTTTAGACTTATAAAATAAACACATGGTTAACGTGTGCCCCCTTAACAATGTTTCACGAACTTCTATATACCCTAAAAAAATGTTCTATTTTCTGTTCCATATGACCTGATCTATATATTGGTTGAAATTTTGTCAAAATACTCAAATTAAATGACATCATCCATAATCACTTTACTCTCTTCGAATTTTTATATTTATTTTTTCTTTAAAATTTTCATTATTTCTGAAACAGTAAACATCACTAATTTTTCAAAATTTTTTAATCGTCACTCCATTTTGTTTTTCTCAGAATCTCCCCCTCTTCTTCATATCCCTTCCCCATTTTTTCTTTTAAACAAAATTTTGCTTATTATTACGCATTGATATATATTTTTTTAAGGAAGAATCTCGTGGTCGTACACTTTTTTTAACAATATTATTGGACACCGGTGATACTCGTACCACCCATCATAGGTGGAGTCCACCTTCTATTAATGGTAGTGCTTAACACTGTTTGCGCTCCTAAGCATTTTTTTTTTTTTTTTTAATAATCATCCTACTTAAGACCTGTTTGGGATAGCTTGTGCTTGTGTTTTTAAGTGTAGAAAAAGATAAGCACAAATTAAGGCTTTTTAATTAGTGTTTAGATAATGTCTGAAAAAAGTACTTTTATAACTAAGAAGAGTTTTTGAACATGTTGGGTAAGAAGTCAAAAACACTTATTGTTATAAAAAGTAATGTAATAAAATGATATAGATAAGATAAAAGAATATGGTTGCGATATTTAATTTATTGTTCACAAATAAAAAGTTAATAATATAAATAAAAAAAACTTTTTATGAACACTAACGAGATAATTTATTTCAAAAGTGTTTAAAAGAACCAAAAACACTTTAAAGTTGTTTATCGGTTTTGAACTAAATATTAAAAGTAACTTTTTTTAAGCCAATCCAACCGGGCTCTTAGAAAATTTACTCCATTAAAAATATAACAACATTGCCACGTCTTAAATTATCAAAAACATTGCCACGTCTTACGGTTTGAGATTTATATGTCTAGCTTGGCTTCTCTTTTTAATTGGTCTATTTTGCCATCAGAGGTGACGTACAACGTAATGGATCAAGCTATAGTAGTGTGTGTGTGTATATATATATATATATATATGTCATTATCTCTCTAACACATATATGTAAACAATTTCCACACATTTATCCAATCAATGCCCATGATCTCTCTCAATTAATAATATACAAAGATAAAAAAGTAAATTGTTGTTTGGCATTATATATCGTCACTATAATTTATATATCAACGGTAATGTATCATTGATCTATGAAATATATTTTATAGAAATTTTTTAACACATTTCTAATAGTGTATGTATCATTGCTCTATGACTAATATTGAACGAAAGAAAGAGGCACTCCAAAACTTTGTCTTTTAATGACATTAAATTTTTTCGCACAAAAGTAGAAAGAATTGTTATTATTGTGAATGATCATATGGGTGGAGAAACATTCAATGTTGAGATTGTTCAAAGAGAAAGAATCAAACCTTCTTCTCCAACTCCTCAAGATCTAAGAATTCATGAGCTCTCTATCCTGGATCAGCTCGCCTTGGTGATCTACATCCCTATAATTCTCTTCTATCCCCGTCGTACCATCGATGATAAGCGCCATCACTACTCTAATTGCGTAAATAATAATATTGATATGATTATTTACAGTCTGAAGAGCTCCTTATCAAAAACCCTAACTCTCTTCTACCCGCTTGCGGGAAGAATCAAGCAAGATTACACCGTCGTGGAATGCAATGACGAAGGAGCGGAGCTCACCGAGGCCAGAGTGGACCACCCGATGTCGGAGATTCTGGAACGGCCAGCTCCTGATCCAGAAGCACTGAGAAAGCTTCTCGCGGTGGACGTCGAATCTAAAGAAGCGAGCGATGGAGCCCTACTACACGTTCAAATCAACGTGTTCGCGTGCGGCGGGACCGCCATCGGAGTGAGTCTCTCTCACAAGGTCGCCGACGCTTCCACGCTGAGCATGTTCATCAGCACCTGGGCTGCAACGGCGAAACTGAATCATATAGAAGCACTTCCTGAATTCTCGTCCGCGTCTCTTTTTCCAGCTCGTCATGGTCATCATCAACTCGGGTTGAACAAAGAATTGGCGAGAGAGAAATGTTTGATGAGAAGGTACGTTTTCGACGCCTCAAACATCGCGATTCTCAAGGCGAAATCGGCGAGCTCCTCCGTCGAGAGCCCGACTCGCGTCGAGGTCGTCTCGGCGGTGATATGGAAATGCGCCTTGGGAGTTTCGAGAGCGAAATTCAGAGGAAAATATAGTAGTAGCAGTACTAATTCAATATACGTACAGTTTCGTCAAGACGTGAACATACGACGGAGGACTTCGCCGCCATTGCCGGAGATCTTGGCGGGTAATCTGGTCGGGTCTTTTTCGGCTAAACATGATCTACTGAGAGATCATATTGCTGATGATGATCATGATGATCCTGATGATGGTGTTCAAGTATTGGTTTCAGAACTGAGAAAAGGGATTGAAGAAATGAAAGAGGATTATAGTAAAGGAATAATATTTGGTTCCGAGAAAATGTTGAAAGCGTTGAAAGAGAGTAGAAAATATGATCATGTTGTAAACTGCAGTAGTTGGTGTGGGTTTAAGTTTTATGAAGCTGATTTTGGTTGGGGATTGCCGTTTTGGGTGAGTTTAGCGAGTGTTGCTATGAAAAACATTGTCGTTTTGTTGGATGCTAGAGATGGTAAAGGAATAGAAGCATGGTTGACCTTGGGTGAAGACGACGTCGCTTTGCTTGAGTCCAATGAGGTGCTACGTGCTTTTGCTACTTTCAATCCGAGTGTCGTTTCCTGAATCCAAAAAAAAAAAAAAAAACCTTAAAGCACCACTGATGATGTCATTTTTTCATTTGTGTTATAAGGGGCAATGTTATTTCAAATGTTAAATTAATTTGTTATAATAATCATTAGATGTTATAAAAGTAAACTTTTAATTTTGAAATGTCAATAATGTTTTGTAATGATTAAATAAAAAGATAAATTTATTAATCAATCGTAATTAAATGTTAAAATTTAATATATGCTATTGACGATAAATTTGCCACTAAATACAATATACGTTGATTTTTTTTTACACTAAAAATTGCATTACAATAGAGAGTAATTTTCTTACTCATATGTTAAAATTTATTATTGACAAACTAATTTAACATTGTATTAGACAAGCTATATAAGATTACGTTCAAATTTGACACTAAATACAACTAATATCAAATTTTGACAAAAAAAAAAAAGATTTACCTGCTCAAATGTTATAATTTGACATTGACGCAATAATTACATTAGAGTTGCTCTTAAAATTAGTGGTGGAGGCAAATTTATTTTAATTTATTTTATTATTATCTTTTTTAACAAGGACGTGAGCCAGCTAAAATTTTGAACTAAATTAACCATGCAACTATTTCTTTTAACTCTTTTCCCCTCTTTTTTCTTCTTCTATATATTTGTACATTTCCTTGCTTTCTTTCAAATGAATCGAAATCAATTCACTTTTTTCTTCTTAAAGTTTAACCTCTAAGACATTATTAATTTTATATAGTAATGTAATCTAGTTAACTTTAGCTTTATTTGCTTGACTGGAGAGAGTATTTTATTGAATTTTAGTTATCCCTTTCTCTTCTCTCTCTAACACACTCTTCTTCTCTCAAAATCTTCCTCTTAAATTTTAGTTCTCCCATCACTTTTTCGGACATTATTAATTAATTATTGCGTACCAAACGCTCTTTATAACTCTCCTAGATTGTTGGCATCTCACAAGAAGAAGAAGCCAAGGCTAATTATAGCCCAAGGGTGAGGCCATCGAACCTTACTTCCTTTCATAACAAGTTGCAAGTAAATTTCCTTTCATGTAAGAAGTTTCAACGAGCCTCGTTCGTTTTACTGATTTCAGTTTAGAATTTGAGTTGAGATGTAATTTTATGTAAAAGTTTTTTACTGTTGCAAAAAAGTTAAATGTGACTGTTTGTGACAGCTTTTTATTGTAACAAAACTCAAATTCTAAACTCGAATCAGCGAAACGAACGAGACAAACTTTTATCAATAAAGTTATTTCAACATAACTTCTTTTACTAAAAGTTGTGTAGAGGAAAAAATATGACATCCAAACTAGTTTTCATAACACAAATATTATAATACCGAAATCCAACAATCTGGATATGATATATAGGGCCCGTTTATTTAGTTAATTCGAGTTAAGATGTAATTTTATGTTAGTTTTTTACTGTAGCAAAAAAATTAAATGTAACTGTTTTTAAGAGTTTTTTACTGTAACAAAACTTGAATTTTAAACTCAAATCGACGAAATGAACATGGTCATAGTTTTAAAAAATCCATACATAAACTGCAATTTCAAAAATTTCAGGGGGGAAAATTTATAAAAAAAAAAAAAAATTGCATCAAATAACTTTTCCTATGCTTAGAAGTCTCTGTTTTACTTGTCGTTCGTCTTAAAGATTTCGAAGCTGATAGTCCCGCCATTGAAGCTTCGCAACACATTTGAGTTTCGCATTTGCAATCGGTAATTTCCATTACTAATGGAGCTTTGAGCTTTGTTATGTAAATATGATACACACACACACACACGTGTGTGTGTGTGTGTCTATATATATGTAAAAGATTACAGTTAGGGAAAAAAAAAAGGAAAACCCATTTATGAATTGAAGATTGGGCAATAGTAAAAGGATTTTGTTGTCTCAATGACGACAATTAAATTTTGATAAACATTCTGCGGATTCTACTGATCGTGTTATGAAGTTAAACTTTTTGGTCTCTTTGATGCCCATAAGGTGTTTGTGTAAATGCTTCTTCCACTTTTCATTATAGTAAAAAGGTTTCTTTATTTGCTTCTGAATGGTGCTTGGTGTAAAGCTAACATTTTTTTTTTTTTACTATTGTATCTCTATTATTTTGAATCTTATTATTGTACTTGAAACAAGGTTGTAGCTTTAGACTTGAAAGATTTTCATAGAAATTAACGAGTCTATTAAAACTTTAAGGAGATAAAAAAGTTTGGAAGGTAGCGTAGTTGAAGGGAAGTAATGAAAATAAATAGGTTTTTTTTCCCCTAATTCACACACACATACACTTACCTATATTGAAGGAAATGAGTATATAGGCATCTTGTCACAAGATACAAGCTCGCGGGTTTATGAGTTTCAGATGGTTTGGAGCGGTTGAGTTCTGCTTGGTTGTCTCATTTAAAAAACTGTCCGGGTGTGTTTTTGAGGCACACTCTCTATAATAGACAACCTAGTAACCGTCAGTCAAATGGCCAAATCCATAAAAACGATGTTACAAACATCAAAGAAATCCTATTTTGATGGTTTAGACTGACCAAAATACCTTAATGTTTTTCTTTTCCATAGTAACTTTTTGCTGTTTATTCTTATAATTTTGGAATGCCTCAGAGACTTGCTATTTCAGTTCATAAGTATGAATTTTATATTTCTCTCATCTAATAAGTTTGATGTTCCCTTTTTTTTTTCCCCGAAGGTACGCTAAACGTTTTTCACATCTATGGACATTGTGGTAGGCAAGTGACAAGAACGATGTTGTTTGCAGCTTTCCCTGTTCTTTACAGAGGAAACTTGCGAAAACTCGCCACCATGCAAAGAATAAATCAAATTCTACTCTATTCGTCATTTTTTATTGATAGAGGTATTCTCTTTATGCCTCCTTAGAGTCACTTTTGGAACACATTACATTATTACAGCACAAGTGTATGCTATTATGTAATTATTTTTAATTTATAAGTTGCTGGTAAATAATTTTTTGCTTCACATGCCAACTTCGTTGTTGGTCTTTCCTAAAACGTGGCACAACAATTTTTTGTCTTTTGACACTGAGTGCTGTCTCAAAACAAGGCTCCAAGCATACATATTTCCGCTACCATTTAGTGTTATTGTTCCATGACTGGACTCCTGATTAGGATCTGTGCATCAATGAGGACATTCTTTCATTTGACAGGTAAATCCTCGGAAAGAATACAAGAACCCCGGCATTTTTCGACTGCCGCGGCAGCTGATGCTATCAATATGTGCTCCGGAAAAAACACATTGGCTACAAACTTAGCCTCTCTTTTAGAAGAATCTGTTGAAGTAGATGAGAGAAAACCCAGTAGTCGAATGGAACTGAAGAGGTCCCTTGAATACCGGGTAAAGAAGAGGGTGAAGGAGCAATATGTGAATGGGAAGTTTCATAACCTCTTAGAAAAAGTGATTGCCAATCCAGAAACGCTTCAAGATGCTTACAACTGTATTAGACTAAATTCGAATGTTGATATAATGTTAAATAATGAGACAACGTCTTTTGAATCGGTGCCTGAAGAGCTGTTTTGTGGTAACTTTGATGTCAAGGCCAATACTGTGTCAATCTCAACAAGAGGTGCAAGGAAAGAAGTCTTAGTCCTGCCCAATTTGAAGTTGAAGGTTATTCAGGAAGCTATCAGAATAGTGTTGGAAGTTGTGTACAGGCCCCACTTTTCTAAGATATCACATGGTTGTCGAAGCGGGAGAGGACACTTCACAGCTTTGAAATTCATCAAAAAGGATATATGTGCTCCCATTTGGTGGTCGACACTAATTGTAAACAAAAAGCTTGATACTTGTATTCTTGATAAACTAATATCAGTTTTGGAGGAAAAGATAGTAGACCCAGGGTTATTTTCTATTATCCGAAGCATGTTTGAGTCTCAGGTTATCAATTTGGAGTTTGGGGGTTTTCCTAAAGGTCATGGTCTTCCACAAGAGGGAATCTTGTCACCTATATTGATGAATATATATCTTGATCTTTTTGACCGTGAATTTTGCAGATTGTCGCTGAAATATGAAGCTCTAGATTTGGATTTAGAAGCTAATCATCAAAAGTCCCAGTCCAAGCTGCGTAGCTGGTTTCGGAGAAACCTGAAAGCCAAAGATCTTAGCGGTGCAGGTGAAGAGAAATTCAGCTTAAGGGTTCATTCTTGTCGCTTCATGGATGAAATATTTTTAGCAGTTTCTGGTTCTAAAGATGCTGCTCTCGGTTTCAAGTCCGAGATTCAGAATTACTTGAAGAATTCTTTGCACTTGGATGTTGATGATGAAACAGAGCTATTACCATGTGACGGTCTGCATGGGATCCGCTTTATGGGCACTTTGGTTAGAAGAACGGTGAAAGAAAGTCCTGCCACCAAAGCTATCCACAAGTTGAAGGAAAAAGTTGAGTTATTTGCTATACAGAAACAAGAGGCATGGGATGTGGGGACGGTTCGTATAGGGAAGAAGTGGTTGGGGCATGGTCTGAAGAAGGTGAAAGAGTCGGAAATTAGGCATTTGGCTGATCCTGAATCTGTTTTGAGCCAAATTTCGCACTTTCGTAAAGCTGGCATGGAAACTGATCATTGGTACAAGCACTTGCTAAAGATATGGATGCAAGATATTAAAGCAAAAGCAGCAGCAGAGTGTGAGGAAACTATCCTTTCAAAGTATGTTGCAGAACCCGCTTTACCACAAGAACTAAAAAATTCCTTTTACGTATTTCAAAGGCATGCACAAGAGTATGTTTCCTCAGAGACAGCTTTTACTTGTGCCCTTTTGAAAAGTTCAGATGCTTCTACCCAACCCGTCATCATCACTCAGATTTTTGCACCTATTAATGCTATAAAAAAGCGCCTCCTACGTTATGGATTGGTCACAACCAAAGGTTACTCCCGTGCATGTTCTTGTCTCATTTTGCAAGATGACAACCAAATCATTGACTGGTTTTTAGGCATTGTTCGCCGCTGGTTTAGATGGTACAGTGAGTGTGATAATTTTTCTGATATAAAGTTCTTAGTTTGTGGTCAAATTAGGAAATCTTGCATCCGAACTTTGGCGTCTAAGCACCATATCCATGAAACTGAGATAGAGAAAAGATTTGATGCAGAATTGAGCAGGATCCCGTCTTCTGAGGATTTAGAGCAAGAGATGGTGAATGATGAGACGTCGGATGTTTTTGAAAAAGATGAGGCATTGATGTATGGGATTTCTTATAGTGGTTTGTGTGCGCTATCTTTAGCAAGGATGGTGAGTCAATCACGGCCTTGCACTTGTTTCGTTACAGGCTGCCAGGCTCCAGCACAAAGTGTGTACTCTCTTCATGTGATGGAAAGACAGAAATTCCCAGGCTGGAAAACGGGGTTCTCAAGCTGTATACATCCTAGCTTGAATAGACGGAGATTTGGGTTGTGTAAACAACACTTGAAAGATTTATATCTTGGTCACATATCACTTCAGTCTATTGACTTCGGTTCATGGAAATGAGCTTCATTAGCATGTTGTAACAAGGAGCTTCTGCAATGTCTTAAGCTTGTGTAGTTGAAAAAAAAAAGGATGTTTGGAATACAAGTTGACCCATTTCAGCATGAGAAAGAGTTTACTCTGAGTCGTTTTTCTGGTAACTGGTAAGTAGTTTCCTCATTTATTTACATTATGAAGCATGCATGAACGTGGTATTCTTCTTTTTAATTCTGTATGTAATGACTTTTACATGTGTTAATGGGAAGATCACCTTAAAATTGTGTAAAATAACTGTTTTATGCAGTAAATCTCATAATGCTAACTTTGATTTTTTGATTCTCGTTATTCGGTCACTTTGCTCCATCATTTGTTGTAATTAATGGTGGAGAAAAAATGATAGAGCAAAGTAACTTTTTAACAAATACAACTGTTACTGGACAAAATTAAGAGGGTACATACATCAACACCTAAAGACGGACTATTTTGTCAAATATTATAATATAGGGCTGAAAAACCTTCCATTCAAGATAGAGCTGAAGAAAAAAGAAAAAACAGTGAGAATCCTAAATCATGCTCTAATTAGTTTCAGATGAAAAGGAAGCTAGTTTAAGGCTGTATAATTAGAATTCTGACTGAACTAAAGTCACTTGCAAAAGACACTTCGGACTTCAGATTGTGTATTCTCTGATTTTCTTTCTTATGCGGGACTTCTAAGGCAGCTCAAAGCTGATCTTTTATGTGTTAAATACAGTTTGTCCCCTTGGTGGTGGCCTGCGGCTCATGTTCTGCATATTGCTAAACTGTTCGTCCGGTTGTCCGGGGCTGTCAGGTTGTCCAACTCCCTCATTAGGCCCCATTCCTACATACTGCTGTACCACCAATACCGACACAGTTGCTGCAAAATCTGATGAAGCTAGCAAATCCCCAATTGCGCCAAGTTCTGGGCACTCACTCCAGTCCGTGAGTCCTGCTGTGAGAGGCGATATCATCCCTTGTCCTCTCCCAACTATGAACAGGTCATGGACATTGTCCATTGACCTAATAGCTGCCACTGTCTCCTCTCCATTATGCACTACCTTCTCATTGTACACAATTGACTCATCATTCATAGTTTTCATCCTGAAATCATTTACGAGGTCATCATCTAGCTGCCTCTCCATTGTATCGTCTGTTTCCACCGTTAACATCCTGGGATCATTTGGATTGCCACGAGACTGCTCTGTAGTATCAGCTGCATCATCACCAGAAATGAAGCGCAGTACTGTAAGGCTTGTCCCTGGATGGTCGGACATCCTCAATGCATATGTTAGCGCCTCTCTGTCGTCTGGCCCTCCAAAGAATATCACGGCAATGTGATGTGTTACCTGGTTTGCAGCCAAGCGTGTGGAGCCATTTAGGCCTCTGTCAACAATGATACCAACTGAGCATGGTGCGTTAGCTAGTACATTCTGATTGATCATCCTAAATGCTGGGTTTGTGGCTTCCATTCCACCATCAACTGTTTGCTGTTTGTGGAAAGGTATGATGATAAAGGCAACACGCTTGTCCTCGGCCAAGTTGCAGATGTCTTCATGCATGGTCGAGTAAGGGGAGATGGCAGTGAGAGGCTGGACAGAGACACAACCTGCATGCTGTTCGTAGTTCTCAAATGCATTGATGATGTGGTCAGACTGCGCCTGGGTTCTGTTAAGGGGTGGCCGGCCGGATTTTCTGGTGTTGTGCACAATGAGCATTGCAGAAGCACGGCCAGTGAGCTCAACTAAATGGAGAACATAAACGCATAAGGGAGATCGTTTTGAGGGGTGCGAAGCTTCAAGGAGGTTGATAATTGTTGGCACATTTCTAGGGGTGTGGATGCAGACCAACATTCGCAACTCAGCGTCTGGTTTCAACCTTTGAATTGTCCGCCGCTTGTAAGGTATGAATTTTCTTGCGGGCTTGTAAATTGATGTTACAATGGGTGTGATAATTGCTGTCATAACCACTGCTACAATTACCATAATTGCAAAGGACTCATCATCTAAGACCTGCAAGGACACAAGTTTTTTGTCAGATTTCATCATTCATATTCACAAAAAGAGAGAAAAGGGTAACACTAGCACTGATTTTCCATACCTTCTGATCCCTTCCGACGTTAAGGATAATCATTTCGACAAGGCCTTTGGTGTTCATGAGCAAACCTAGAGTAATTCCTTCATGAACTGGCATTTGGTAATAGATGCAAACAAGTAGAGTTCCAGCAACTTTTCCGGCACAGGCAAGAACTATGATGAGCATCAGAAATCCCCATGTCCCAACTGAGGTGATTGATGTAACGTCGGTTTTAAGCCCGCTTATGGCAAAGAAGAGAGGAAGCAAAAGCCCTGAAACAAAATCCTCCAGCTTCTCTATGAGAGTGACCCCAAGAGGCCCGTTTGGAATAACTAAGCCGAAAACAAATGCCCCGAAAACAGAATGCGTTCCAATGGCGTCTGTGATGAACCCGGACAACATAACCCCAGTGAGAACAAGACATATATGGAACTCGCTGAAGCTTTCTCCCTCTGGCGTTCTTCGGATCATCCACGACACGGCTGGCCTGACAATCAAAATGCAGAAAGCAACAAAGGCTGTGCTTGACAGAATCACCCAGAGGGAGGCCAAGGAAGTGGCGTGGTTCTCGGCCAAAGCAATGGCCAAGGCCAAAAGAATCCAGGCACTCATGTCATTGACCAGAGCAGAGGACAAGGCAATTCTGCCTATCTCCGTGTTGATAAGCTTGAGTTCTGCGAGGATTCTGGCAAGCACGGGGAACGCAGTGACAGAGAGGGCAACACCGAGGAAGAGAATGAAAGTGCCTTGTGTCATGGTCTCATCTTTTTTATGGAGAATGAAGGAGAAGCAGGCACCAATGATGAAGGGCAACACCATCCCGGCGATTGCAATGGCCAACGCCTTTTTCCCAGTGCGCCTAATCACGGAAATGTCCATCTCCACTCCAACAAGGAAGAGGAAATAGAGGAGACCCACATTTGCCATTGTCTCAAGAACCATCACACTTCTTAGAGGGAATAATGTGTTGGCAAATCTGCTGTTGCGTCCCAGCACTGATGGACCCAATATTACACCACCCTGATAAAAGCACATTGGCAACAACAAAATTAAACATTAAAATGGTATTCATTCATATATTTCTCTCTCTCTCTCTCTCTCTCTCTCTCTCTCTCTCTCTCATATGAGAGGTGAAAGTTATGATATCTTATGTCAAAATGTACACAGATGCATGCATATGTATATATATGTGTGTGTGTGTGTGTGTTATATCCGTACGTGAAACGAGAAGGGAAATAAAGCTGAAAAAATGCGATATTTAAATGGAAATAAAAATAGGAAAAAAAATTGAAAATTGAGGAAAATTGGAGGTAAGATTTATATCTTCTGCCGTATTTTCTACATCAAAAGGTGGGAAAAAAAAGAGAGGAAGAAACTGCGAATATTTTTGTGGAATAACACACAGAGATCTAAAGAGTGAATTGTCTTTAAAAAAATTGAGACTTATCTTGCATTCAATTATTAACAATGTAGTTTTAGGACATAATAGCATTACACCAAAACAATGAAAATGCAAATTCCAAAAACAGAAACAAAACTATTACGTATTCTCCTTAACAATATGGTTTATCAAATGCATACAGAGTACAAAATGATCAAGAACATACATACATACATACATACCAAAATTTCAGCAATGACACGAGGTTGGCGAAAGGGTTTGAGGATGAAAACGAGAAATCGAGTGGTGACGACAACCATGGTGAGCTGCAAGATGAAGAGAGGGAGGGAGTAGTCCAAAGGGTTATCACCCTGCCACACGCCGTTCGTCGTTATCATATTAGGCGCGTAGCACACAATTGTATCTTCCGTTTTGTTTATCGGGGTCGCCATTGCCGCTGCCATTTTTAATAAAAACTTCTGATCTCCGCCACCTATACCCGATTCCTATGTATATTGGTATAGATTTACGTACCTATTCTTCTTAATTTGTTGAGACTACTACAATATCTTAGCGGCCAACTTCTTAAACATGTTGGCACGTAACCATAATAGCTTTGTGAATTTTCTTTGTTTACATGCAGAAATGAGACGGAAAAAGAACGTTTTCTTTGTTGGAAAGAGAGATGGCAATAGGAACAAAACAAGGAAGAAAAATATATCTTTTTTATTTTTTGTGTGGATAAAATGGGAAATGAGGGAAGAGAGAAGAAAAGGGCATTTGGTGGTTAAGCGTCCCGTTTGGGGCTCTTTCCTCTATATGTGGCCTACAATCATATCCGTGGTTTACAAATTAAAGAGAGATCTATTTTAAAACACTCTTTTTACCCCCACAATTTTTTGATTTTTTTTTATTTTTTATTTATAATTTTTCTTTAACTACAATAGAAAAACTAATTAGGTACAGTCAAAGAATTTTTTCTCGTTCAGTCAAATGACTCGTCCGTAGGCTTAACTAATAACAAATAACTAAATAAATTTTGAGTCGTAAATGTTGATATTTTTAGGAGTTTTCCACGATAGGATTTTGAAAATTAATTATCGATAGATCTCTGTTTTTAAGCCGTTAGTTCTGTATCTAAAACTATTATTCTATATACTTTTTTATTTTGATGTGATTTTGACATCTAACGATAAAAAAATACAATAACAGGAAAAATGTGAGGAGAATTATTCTCAGCCAATAATAATAATAATAATATGAGGAATAATAATAATAATAATAATAATAATAAATGTGAGGAGAATTGTTCTTAATCATATTCTTAAATGTAATTTTAGTAAAGGAATTTTTGGATAATAAAATAACTTATAATCAGAGTCTTAAGATATGCTTACAAGCAAGAATATTAAGCATGACGACAATGACTTTTAAATATATGACTTGATATGATTTTATGAGCTTTCTTTTAAGCTAAACACATCATCAGTCATCAGATTACCTGCACTGCAATGTTGGGAAAACTCTTTTATCTTTTTAGTCCCTCTTTTGATCTACATTTCCACAATTCACCTTTTTTAGATAATTGTCTTACTTATTACTCTAATAATAAATTATAGATCCGTTTATTTAACTGATTTAAATTTTAAATTTATATTTTATTATAATAATAATTTTTTAAAAATAGTCACATTTAATTTTTTTAATACAGTAAAAATTTTTTATATAAAATTAAATATCAATTCGAATTAAAAACTCGAATCTAAACTAAACGGAACCTACAAGTACATCCGAATTACTTTGGCAGCGTTCTCAGCCATTTCTGGCTTGATCTTTTTGTCCAAGAGCTCTTCCTTCGATGTGCAATTCGACGATACTAAAACCTCGGAAATCTTTTGTTTTCGCCATTCTTTCCGCTCTCCTCGTGTTCCTTGTGTTCGCGACTCTCTGAGCTGGAATGACATCTTGCAAAAGGTGCGCACTCTAAACTTCTCTGTAAAAGCCACGGTTGATTCTCTCTTCTTGGGGATTGTTTCGCTGCTGGCCTTCTTGATCAAGTTTCCGCGTTTCGACGTTCATTCGAGATACATAAAATCTTGTAGTATTGAGGATCAAGGGAAGAAAGTGTCACATGGAAGTCAATATAATTTGTATTCTGTTGGGGCATTTGCTCTCTTGTCCTTGCTCTTATCATTCGAGAGACAAAAAAGTATGGGCTTGGCTTTTTTGGCATTCTCATTGGCTTGATCATGGACACATCTATGGAAATTCCATCAAGTGATGATGAGCCAAATTTCTGGTATATTCTTGGGTCTATTCTCTATTGTATTGGGTCAATTTTCTTTAAGCGTTATATATGCAATCCTTAAGGAACAATAGAAAGGACTATTTGGTTTATTCTGATAGATCAAAACACCGTAAAAGCGCGAGTTTAAGAGACATGTTTCGAAACAGTTTGGTATACTTTTCAGCCATTCTTGGCATGGTGTGCCTATTTCTATGCCCCTTTTCAGAGCAGCAATTCTAGGATGCTGCAAATTTGAAAGACGTCTTATTTATCGCTCTCTCTATTTTGCTCGGTTCCTATTTGCACAAGGCACCGATATTTATTGACTATTTGGTAATGAAATGTGGGGCAGTTTTTGGTTAAAGCCATGGTGAAATCTTTTTTGTTCCTGATTGTTTCTGGGGTGATTTTCATGACAAAGTATCCTAGGTTCAAAATACATTCACACTATAGAGAATCTTGCAAAGAGGGAAGAGGAAAGATATTTTATCAAGGAAATAAATTTGATGTATATTGTACTGGATCATTCTCTCTTTTTGCCTTGACCGTGTCATCTCAAAGAGAGCAGCCTGTGAAGCTTGGCATTTTCAGCTTTCTTCTTGAATTGACCATGGACACTTGTATTGAGATCTTGGGGAATGATCAACCCAATTTCTTGTGCATGCTTGGTGCTGCTCTGTATTGTTCTTTGTTACTTCTTGTGAAGAGTTATTTGGATTCCTCGAAGGAGGATAGAGACAATTTTTTTTGAGAGCCATGGGCGCGACGAGGATCAACTAGAGATCGCAATGGTTTCAAATGTTAGCGACAAGTCTTATGTAGATGAGGAGCCATTAACTGAGAGAAAAACTCGTGAAGAGAAAAAAGTTGAGAATGAAGACTATGAATTGAGGTTACTCCTGTAGTGGCGAGAGGCGACAATGATATTAGTAGAGAAGATGCAGATAGTGGCGGCGACGAACCATCTGTGTATTGGAGGATGGAATACAATTGCTTAGTCGTACAGAAAGACAAATAGCGAAAGAGAGAGAGAGAAAGCAAAACGAGAAAGAGAAAGAAAAAGAGTGAAAAGGAACCAGAAAGAGGATTTGTGGGAAAGAGAGAAAAAGAGTGAAAAGGAAGAAGAAAGAGGATTTGTGGATAACCTGAGGCAAAACTCAATATCAAATAGTTCATGTAACTTGAATGACAATATACAAGAAATTTTAACGCATGCACTGCATATGATGGATTGCATGCGAAAATAGTAGTTCTATCCAAAATTAAACTTGAGATATTATTAATTTTGAGGTATTGGGTGTATAATATAAAGTTGGAGAGAGGAAGAATGTGTGAATGACCAAAGCATCTTATGAAAATTATATATATAAATTGAGGTCTTATTTTTCCTCTGTTTAAAAGAAGTAGGTGTAAATCATTTTGCTGGTTCTGATTTTCTTGGATGATATGGATCCAAGACTTAAAAATGTGCAATTGAGAACAAGATCCAAATAGTAGGTGTAAGCCATTTACTAATGTTTTTGGGTGTAGAAGACTTGTGTTCTCACTGAAAAAAATGAATCACAAAATTGAAGAATACATGTAAAACTAGCAAAGTAAAGCTCCATTTTTTTGGGAATAAATAAAGTTTCATAAGATTGTGCAAAAACATCTTCTAAATTAATGTTAATCCGACAAATAATCTTTGAAATTCAGTCTTTAATTCTAATTTGATCCTTCAATTTTAAAAAGTCTCAAACGTGACCCTCAACTATTCATTTGTTTTACTTTTGGTTATTTCATCATTTAACTGATAAAAAGATTATGAAATATGCATGTGATGCTGATTAAAAGTAACTCTGCTCGACACAACATGAAATATGCAAGTGATATTGACAGAAAGTAACACTATGCTAGCAAAATAGCATCAATATTCTCTCTTCTTTTTAACATAAGTGACAGAAAGTTAAAAATAAAACAATGTGATAGATTAAGGTTAAGTTTGGGACGTTTTGAAAATGAAGACTTGTATTACATAAAGTTAAAGGACTATATTTAAAGGGCGTTTAGTAGGCAGTAATTAATAGGAATCATATTTATAGAAAAGTGATGAAACTTAATATGATTTCAAGAATAATACATATTGTTGCTCCTGAATCAATCTTATTAGCATGTTGGTGACCCCACAACCAATCCAAGTGCATTCTTAATGATGTATTTATTTCTTCTTCTCATAGTTTGTTTCCAACTTCAAATCTTGGCAGCCGCAATGTAAAATGTCCAAGTTAGGCCGTAGGGTGTTGGATCCGTGATGGTCTAAGTGAGATTGGATTTATCATTCACGTAGAATTAGTACCAATGACCTTTTTTTTAATCTTAACAAATATTTTTTAAAAGTGCATGGCTCAAAATTTTTATTTTTTATTTTTAATTTATAAATTTTTAAATTAAATAATTACACTAATAAAAAAATATTTATTATGAATAAAAGATAAAAATTTAAACTCGTACTTTCTTAAAGATAAATTCCGTCTTTTATTTTATTTTTTTGTTATTGTTGCGTGTGTGCAGGTCCAAAAAACACACCTTGTATCACTAAACCCACCATCACCGAACAATTGTGACATTTGAGGTTCAACCTTTAGTTTAGACCATTAGAGAAACAGCGTGTAACTAGAAATGGCTATAAATTGCTTGAGAGGAGTGCCCAAATTCCCATTTCCTACAAAACCCAAAAGAAGCACAACAAACACCCACTTCTTCTTTTTCTCCTCCTCTTCAAGAAAAATTTCTCTACTTGTATCAACATCACCCACTTGTTCATTTTCCCCAATGTCGTACGACAAAGACCTTGCTGCTGCCAAGAAAGCTGCCTCTCTCGCTGCTAATCTCTGCCAGGCATCTCTCTCTCTCTCTCTCTCTCTATATATATATATATATATATTGTTGGTTCAGCGAAAACCCAGAACCCAGATTGTGAAATTGAAGATGATTTTGGGATCCTGATCGAGTAATTTAGCAATAAGTTACAAGCTAGAATCTTTATTTAAATAGAATTATGCAGTTTTGGGTTCAGATTAGTTTTTTGTACATAGGTCAGTTTTAGATTTTTTTTATATGCTTTTTTTTTTACACTTTCTTTGAGAGAATATTTTATTCCTTTGTAAAAGGGTACTAAGATCAATTATGATTATCAATTTGCGCTCTGAATTATTGTCAAAATGTAAAACCATGTTCAGAACATCTTTCTCTATCAAGTCTTTTTTTTTTTTTTTTTTTTTGACTTTCATGTTATCAGTTTGTTTGTATTCATGTATGCGCACGCACAACTTATATATATATATATATATATATGCGTACACACATACACTTAGCTGAATTGAAGTATGGTTTCTCTTTTAATTCCCGCAGAAGGTGCAAAAGGCGCTGTTGCAATCGGATGTTCATTCAAAATCAGATAAAAGTCCTGTTACCGTGGCTGATTACGGTTCGTTTTTGAATTCTACTGTGCGTACTCTTTCAATTATACGCGATGAATTGGTATTCTTTCGCAATTTTGATGCTCACTATGCAATTTGGGAACTTCAGTTAGACTTATTTTGTGATTGTCTGCTTGCTCTGGAATCCAGGTTCACAGGCCATTGTCAGTTATGTCTTGGAGAAGGAGCTTCCTACCGAGTCGTTTTTGCTAGTTGCTGAGGAGGTGAATATTTCAGCAATATTGCGTGGTTGTTTTCTTTGTTCGCTTAAATTGTAAACGAAGCTTTTTAATTTAATCAACCTCTCCAGGATTCAGGAGATCTTCGCAAGGAAAATGGCCAGGAAACGGTACAACGCATTACGGAGCTTGTAAATGATACTCTTGTTGTCGAGGAATGTTATACCGCTGCTGCATTGAGCACGGAAGATGTGCTTAGGGCCATTGACAGTGGCAAATCTGAAGGCGGTTCTTCTGGCCGACACTGGGTTTTAGATCCCATAGATGGTACCAAAGGGTAAGCTTCTGAAGTTAGTACTTGAATTCTGGCAGTATTCCTTTGGTAGTTTCATTTTCTCTTATTTTAGTAGAAAAAACGTGTTTATGATGTGTAAAATGTAACTCGTTCATAGTCTTCTTATTACTCTGATTGTTCTGGCCGTCCCCTTTTCATTGGATACTCAATTACTAGGCATGTAAATTTTAAATTTAAGTGCAAAACTGTTATATTATATATCTATTTTCAAGACATGGTTTTGTAACATATGTGACTATCATTGGCACTGCTTATCCTTTGGTTTTCTGGTGTTGAAGTTGTTGAAAGCGAAATGAAATAGATAAGAGTGGGGCGATATTGACTGTATGTTCCCATGCATGTTTATGCAATAATCCTTTCTGCTAAGATTATCTGGTTTGTTACACATCATAAGCTGAGACTTGTTAACCTGTCATTTGCTTGATTGTCAAAATGAAGTCAATATAAGATGACAATATCTTTGTGGTTTCTCTGGTGGACCTATTTCTAACATGTCTTATAAAAGTACGATCTTTGAATAATTAAATAGTTTTTAGTTGCTTCAGTTTGTTCCTATATTTTCCAAAATGTCAACTTACAAATTTCATTGATTTTTTTTGCTTACAAACCAGGTTCTATTATAGAAGGTCTTATACTTGTTAAATTGTGCCGTAGGTTTCTTAGAGGAGACCAATATGCCATAGCACTAGCTTTGCTGGATGAAGGGAAAGTAGTATTGGGAGTCCTGGCTTGTCCAAATCTTCCTCTGACATCCTTTGGTGCTAACAAGCAGCATTCTTCAGAATCATCAAATGATAAAATCGGTTGTCTTTTCTTTGCTAAAGTTGGTGAAGGAACATATATGCAGTCGCTTGATGGTTCTTCACCAATAAAGGTCTGTGCTTGACGTCAATGATAAGTTTATTTCCCCAGATATTCATTTTAATTGAATCAGGCACTTGACATGGATACTTGTTATGTTCTGTGTGTCCCCATAGGTGCACATTAGCGCTATTGAAAACCCTGAAGAAGCATCGTTCTTCGAGTCTTTTGAAGCAGCACACTCCTTGCATGACTTGTCTAGTGCCATTGCTAAGGTGTTCCATACTCATCAATAAACTTCTATGATGTTTTCCACCCACCCCACCCCCCCGCGAATATTCTGATTAAAGTTATTGATAATTGACAGAATCCCCCCCGAATATTCTCATTAAAGTTATTGATAATTGACAGAAGCTCGGTGTCAAAGCACCACCGGTTAGGATTGACAGCCAGGCAAAATATGGGGCGCTTTCCAGAGGAGACGGAGCCATATACCTCCGTTTCCCTCACAAAGGATACCGTGAGAAGATATGGGATCATGCTGCAGGATCTATTGTCGTGACCGGTAAACAAACAATCGATCCTTTGTTTGAATAAAATCGTATCAGCGGTAACTGATGTGGGGTTGTGTATGAGTTTCTGAAGTGCAGTAGAACAATTATTCTGCTTAATTTTCTGCTTATCTGACATTTATACTTGATCAAATTCACAGAAGCCGGTGGTGTGGTCACGGATGCTGCAGGGAACCCATTGGATTTTTCGAAAGGGAAGTATCTTGATCTTGACACGGGCATTATTGTTACTAACCAGAAATTAATGCCATCACTATTGAAGGCTGTAAGAGAATCAATTCAAGAGAAAGTTTCATCCTTGTGATTCTTTTCAGAACCTTGTGATTCTAAAGCACTCAGTTTCAAACTCCCGGGTGACAACGAAATGTGCATTTTTTTCTTGGCCCGTTTTGGAACCATCGGAGAACTGAGGGGAAATAGGTGGGCGTTGTTTGAATGTAAGCCTAGTGCTGTCCAAACTCATAAAATTTGAATTCAATAATAATCGATGTAACAGAGGCTTACCTCAAAAAACAGAGGTTTTCCTCAAAAAACAGAGGTTTCTGTACTTTCACATTGACTCTTTTCCCTTCAATTTTGGAGATCTCTTTTTTTTTTTTTTTTGCATGGCCATTGAGAGGAGGGGGTAAAAATAGGAGACAACAGTTGGAAAGGTAGTGCCTTCTTGGCCCCTTCATTTACTAGAATTGGCGTGGATATTTTATTTAAATACAGATTTTGTTGTGTTATAATTTGATGGCTGGCTATACAACTGAGCCAATTTCTTCCTTTGAACTCCTCCACTACACCCACTTATCTTGGGGGTTTGAACTTTTCACTCAATGATAATACTTACAATTTGCAAGGAAATACAAATTGTACAACTAGACTGGAACATCTGATGGGTAATCCTGTGGATATCTTTTGATTGTTTCCCTCAGCAACTGCTCCTGCTCGCGAAGATTTGCCGGTGGAACGTCATACACATCTGTGAACAGGTTCATAACTGGGGGTTTCTCAACTTTCTCCGCCACTTGAATAGCATGCAACACCTACAACCAAAGAGCATGTCAATTAGAAACTTGAAATCTTGCTTTTCAGTTACCTCGTCTAAACTATAGATCTTTCTCCATTTGTCTCGTCTTTCATTAACCGTGGTTCGACTGGGGTTCATCTAGTCAGAAAACAACTTTAAGCACTGAAATGCCACAAGAGAGAGTTCTAAATCCCAAAGAAAATGGTTTCAACTAAGTCAGCAAGGATCTTCCACTAATTCTTAACTGAAAAACAGAATATTTCATTTGCACATGGCTTTTTAACATGAAAATCACTAGCTTCTTGCCTTGAGGGGCTATTTTGATGGTGACAATACAGATTTTCAAAACAAGGAAAAAGAAAAGGGATTAGAGCTCTATGAGATGATTGTCTCGGAAGTTACATTCCAAATACAGCTCGAGTTTTACCTGTTTCCTCACACTGTTTCTGAGCTCTGATTCGTGCTCACCATTCCACCAACCACTGCTTTCAATCCATTTTCTAAATCGAGTTAGAGGGTCTCGTGCTAATCTCCACCATTCGATCTCTTCGACAGGACGATACTTGGTTGAATCATCAGATGTGGAGTGGTGTCCCACTCGGTAGGTCAATGCCTTCAAAGTGCAAAGGGTTTGCAAAATGACAATTAAGGACTGAGTTTCAAGAATTTGCTCATTAGAAGGCCAAAAAAAAAAAAGCAAACAAATGTTCTGCCTTACCTCAATTAAGATTGGTCTGTGTTCGCTGATTGCCATGTCCCTTGCGGCATGAACTGCACTGTACATTGCAAGCGCATCATTACCATCCACGCGAATACTTCGGATACCATACCCCTGACCTCTTACAACGACACCATCAGCTTTAACAAAAAGAAAAGGTTAGTCAATGTACCATCTATGCATAGAGTCCGAACTCTATAGTTTGCGTGTTAACAGAAAAGAGAAGCATCACCATGTTGAAAGAAAAAAGAGAGCAACAGAACTAGTAGAGGGGTTAAAAGTACATCGAAACTGGTCTGAAGTAGGTGTACTGATAGCCCATCCATTGTTCCGGCAAATAAATATAACTGGTGCCTCTCTGACTGCCGCAAAGTTTAGAGCAGCATGAAAGTCACCCTACGGAACAACATGAGTTCAAAATGACCGTTAAGTGCTAACACAACATGAATGAGTTCAAGCATTTTGGGGGAACTTTCGACTTTTTTGTCCCCCTATCTGTAATCGCGCTAACACAGGCAAATCAGAAAATAGAAAATGGGCAGCTTCAGGTAAAGTATGTATGTATGTATGTCCATTCAAATCTTTCTCTAGAAAGGCCGGTGAAAAGGCCAAAAAAGTGGTTTCTTATGCTGATGGAAATAGTATGTCACCTCACTTGTCCCACCATCACCAAAGTAAGTGACCACGCACGCATTCTTGTTGTCCATCTTCAAAGAATAAGCGGCACCAACAGCATGAGGGATTTGTGTACTGCAAAGAAGATGGAAGTATGCGATGTAGTAAATTTGGTATACACAACTCAATTTAAAAGACTAATTCAAGATCTTACGCTATCGTTGATGATACGGTGAAGTAGTTATGCTTGTGAGATCCATAATGTATAGGCATCTGCCTGCCTTTACCAAAATCAGCTTTGTTACCGAAACACTGGTTTGCAAATTCTTGCAGAGTGAAACCGCGCCATAATAGTACTCCCTGTTCCCGGTACTGCTACATACAAAAGAAAGCTTTATACATGTATGATGTATTAACCTCAGTTTCTCACGTATGTAAATACTGAACTATTAAATTAATGCAAGAGGATGAAATCTGGTGTGCAAATTCTATTTGAGGAGAGATGGAAAGTTTATATGAGAATTTACGTGTTTGTAACCTGAGGAAAGATGAGATCGTCCATAGTTAGTGCTGCTGCAGATGCGACATTGAGGGCCTCTTCTCCGATCGAAGTCACGTAAAAGGAAATTCTCCCCTGCCTCTGTGCTTCGTAGAAGATGGTGTCCATGACTTGTAGCGTAACCATGTTGGTGTACAGTTTGAGAGCTATCTCTTGATCAACCTATTTAGATCAAATAGTTCATAAGTCATTGTTTGCTCGACTCATTCATGTTATCTCATCGTTGCATAGAAAGAAAATTCTGCTCCTTGGAAATTGGGTTCAATCCAGGGTAGATATACCTGTACATAGTTGCTGCCTGAGATTATCTGCCCATTGTCATCAAGGACCCTGTAGCAGTGTACCCTCTCCACAGGGGATTCCGCTATGAACCTCATTTCAGGGGAGAACTTAACCTTCCCTCCTGGAAAATCCAAGACCTGTAACACAACGGAAGCTTCAGAAAGCAAATAAACACAGACATTGCTTGCCTTGTTTCCATCATGTGTGTGATGGGTGTGAAGTGATACAATGTTTCATGATCTCCTTTTTTTTTTAAAAAAGAAAAAAATGAAAAAGAAAAGGAACAGCTAGAAGAATATGCAACTTAAACCATCTTCTATTCGGACGAAATTTGCTGTTTTTCTTTCTTACTTTCATGAGGGGAAAAAAAAAAAAAACCATTCACCAGAATCAAAACAAAGCTACAAAATCAACTGTTAGCTAAAAGAAACACCATAGCCCGTTATGGTTTATAGGTTTGTATAGACTTGTGAGAGAAAATACTGTGAATTGTGGTTCAAACTGCAAACCAAACAAGTGCTATGTAAACAATAAACCTGATTTTCTTCTTAAATCCCAATTGTTTTATGCTTTGAGACTCACTATAGCCTCATTCATTGTTTGCTCAAAGTTGGTTCCACAAATAATTAGATACTCAAAGCTGCTAACCCAAGTAAAATTGGGTCTTCATAGAAACATCCTTTCCATCAAACTACGCTTTGTTATTAAGAAAATCAAGAGGATATAAATTACTTAAAACTTAAAAGAAACATAGTAACAGATTTTATAATCTCTAATACCATGGTGGCCCACCTCCTATAGACAATCAACAAGATTATGAAAGACCTCATCTCTAACAAAAAATTACGTTGCAACAAATTGACAGACAAGCAAACTATTTCCGCCACTTTGACTTGAAACCAAAAAAAAAATGAAAACTTTATTATTATTATTATTTTGATAAAAATGAAAACATTTTATTAAAATTCATTCTAGAACCAAAAAACACTCAATCACGGTAAGTCCATTGAATATGAGAATATGCAATTGGCCAACCAAACATGATTAAAATTATTATTATTATTATTTTTTTTTTTTTTTTTTGCCCACTAAAATACGCTTGCCAAACGTTTACAAGTGTTATCCATTTATACAAAAACATTCATATTTAGATATACTATATAATACATCAGATTCCCAGCAAAAAAAGAAAAAGAAAAAGAAAACGTTAACTATAAAATACTGATTAAATAACACTAAATTAGATTATTTACATATACTTTTCCGCTCAAATGACACAAAAACAGTATCAGAAAAGGGAATGAATACCTGATTACTATTGACATCGAAATCACGGGGAGAATCAGAGCGTAGTTTCTCTGCTTTGGTGGATTCAAAACGACGAGAAGAGAAATTGGGAAGTGGGTTTGTGAGATTTGGACCGAAAGAAGAGTATGAACAACAACTCTGATTGATCTTGATCATGCCCAGAAAACCCATTTTGAAAACATAATGGTTAACTGATTTTCTTGTCCAAAGAGCCATGCTGATTATGAAATGGCGATAGTTTCAAAGAGAAAAGAAAGTAGAAAATATATACAATCTACAGATATATGGTTTTAAATTGACAGTTTTATTGCTTGTGCAATGAATGAATGGAATATTGTTAATATGCTTTCATGCGTGAGAGAAGGCAGAGAGAATAATAGATATCCGAAAATATTGTATTGAATTGTATTTATCCTGTATCTATAAATGGGTGTTTTTTTTATTATTTTTTAATATTTTGTTTTTAATGAATGGATTTTTTTATTTTTTAATATTTTTTAATTTTTTAATATTTTGTACTTTTTTAATATTTAATAGTATGAGGTTAGAGCGCCAAATCAGAGTACAGAGGAGAAAGTGGTCCTCTTTGGAAAGCCGTCTTCGTCTTCTTCTTCTTTTTTTATTATTATTTTTCTATTTTGGTGACTTGTTTTGAAAGTCTTACGTGTAAACATGTTCGTCTCCATCCTTTTTTTTTTTAATTCGTCTCCATCTTTTTCTTTTTTTATGTAAACGTATGAAGTTGTAATTAAAATTTTAATAACGTAAAATAAAAATAATAATATAAAAAAGTAATTGAATAATTCAAAAATTGTATATAATAAGTAGTTTAAGTGAAAAGTTTATATGATTAAATTGACTAAATTACATTTTAAATTATAAGATAACAAAATAATAAAAAATAAGTGCATGAAAGGAGATTATTCTGATAAGAAAGTTTAGATTTTGTAACGCCTCGAGAAATTAAATAAGATTAATTAAGATTTATTAGTGTACCTAATCTGGTTTAATTAAATAATTATGTTTAATAAATATTTTTGACGTGTAAATTTAAATATTTCTAAAGAATTTAAATATTTTCAGTAATTATATTTTCACCCCAGAGTGTGTGTAGACACATAATCTGGACTGTCTTTTAAATTTTGTGACACCTATCCTTTCCTTTTTCTTTTTTCTTTTTTTTTTCTTTTTCCTTCCCGTGCACCCTCACTCTCTCTCTCTCTCTTCTATGTCGTTTTTCTCCCTCTCACTCTCGTTCTCTCTCTCTCTCTCTCTCTCTCTCTCTCTCTTAAATCAACCGAATTTCGAACCAAAGAAGAATTTCAAAGAGTTTTCAACGTCAAGAGAAGAATTTGAGGTAAGATTTCTGAAAAACTTCTCTTGAATCTTGGATTTTTCAGATTTGAAAACTTATTTTGGTTCGAAATGGACTTTTATGGATTTTGAGTAAAATCATGGTAGAAATTGGGGATATTTGGTTCTATGGACTTGATTTAGTTACTAGAACTTGGATTTGGTTGTTTTCCCTTGAAATATTTCGAATTAGAACTCAAAATTGAAGGTTTTCAGACTGATTCGGCGAGTTTCCTCGCCTTGCTGTTCTCCACCGGTCGACCTATGCAGTCGACCGGATTGCACTCCACCGGTCAACCTATGCGGTTGACCGGATTGCACACCATCGATCGACCGGTGGTGTTGCACATCTCTGTCACCGGTCGACCAGTATACACGGGGTCGACCATGTTTTGTTGAAAAATCCTGTTTTGACCTCAATTTTTAAAAAGAACCCAAATTAGCTTCATTTGGGGATCTATAGTAGATGGATTAACATCTTTAATCCATGTTTTGAGATTAAAACCCTTAGAATGATGATTTGAAACATGAAATGGTTTATGAAATTTGAAAATGAATTATGGCACACTAATAGGAAATCAAAAGATATAATTGAGATTGAATTGCTTTAGGAATGAGAATTGAATCTTAAAGCGTTGTTTTGTATCAATGCTAGCTAAGAACTTAGATTGAGGGACTTTGAGGAAGCGGAAGCCGGAACAGTGCAACGCTGGCCACAGGTTTAGTACATACGAGATAGGATTCCTTATCCCTTTCTTTGTTAGCCTGATTTTAAAAGAGTTTTGGCCTTGCAAATGTTTTAAAGAAAGGACATGTTTGCGAAAGAAAAGCATTTTAAAACAATAGCTTGATTTTAACTATTGGAATTATAATGAACTACTTCAGAAGGTGAATGATTTCTTAAGATAACAGATCTTGCGAATCGGTAAACCGGCTGATGGCCTAGATAGGATATGTAGAGTGTATCCTTGGGGGCAAAACCTGAAACCCGGATCGGGCCACTACGGCGGTGTAAAGGCTTGTGCTTGTGGTTGTGTAAGTAATTTATCAGAGGATAAATTACTTGCTGATGCTTGTAATATAGAATTTTCAGTTTATATTCCTTTCAAAAAAAGGATGTGAGATTCCAGCTATTGTGTTAGAACTGAATGTCTATATTTATTTATTTATTTATCTATTATTTTTTCATTCATTTATTTACTTGTTTACAAAGCTCATTTAAAAATACATCCCACTAGGCCTTTCGCTCACGTTTTTCTTTGTTTTATAAATATTAAACCCCTCCCAGGAGACGGAGGAGTAGTGCTGAGTAGTTGAGTTAGTTGCTACCATCCGATTAAAAGAGGATTGTGTTCATCCTCCTTGTGTACAAATGTAAGAATTACAAATTCTGTAAACTCTGAGCTTTGAATTTCTAGACTGTGGTTGATGTCTGTAATGTTTTTTACATGTTCATGTATGTACAATACTGCATATCCTGTGGGTGAAGCCCTGAACGATGCAAGAGGCTCAAGTTTTAACCTTTTGTAATCAGAAAGTGCGGGCGACCCTATAATTTTCTTGTAATTTATTTTCAGCTAAATGTGGGGCTCGTTTGAAAATTTCTTTAATATTTTACTTTTGATTTTGATCATTATGATTATAAATATTTAATTACTTTCCTAATCTTGTTTAACTTTTAAACGAGCCTCCACATCACTAACCCCAACTTCGAGGCATGACAGATTTGAGGCTTAAAAAATTTAAGAGAGAAGAGAGTAAAAGATGAACAAAAAAGAAAAATTAAGAGAATATTAGTGCAAGTGTAGATAAATAATGCCAAAAAAAGAAAAAAAATAAAAACAGAAAGAAAGAAAAGTAAAATCCCGTTTGTAAGATATATTCGTAGACAAATGGAGTTAAAAAAATGAAAGAAGAAAGTTAAAATAGAAAAAAGCAAAATAAAAGCAAAACAATGAAGTTAGAAAAAAATGAAAAAGATTAAAAAAATGAGAGGGGCAAAGTGAAAGTAAGAAAAAAAAAGAAAAAAAGAGGGGCAAAGAACCAAACGTTGCGTATAGGACGATGAAGGGTGAATAGTATGCCTTGAGGGTTATTTCTATGTATTAATTGTAATTTTTTTATTACTTTATCATTTTGAAACCTTTACATATCATTATTGCATTAGATTCATTCTGAAAATAGATGATTTTTTAATTAAGGAGTCAAAACTGTATATTTCATTAATCAAGTAAAATTTTGATTAGTTTTTCGTTCAAAGAAACCCAAAAGCATAGAGACAGATAATCACACACACGAATAACTCGATGCCTATGGAAGAAATAAATAGCAAAACGACAAAATAACTCGATACAAATATAACTGTAATCAAAGTCATAATTGATCATAATTAAAGAGATTATTCCAGTGAGGAATAGTGAGATTAGCGGTTTAAGAAATTTATGAGAGAGCGATAAAGTTCAAATGTAGAGAAAATGAAAGAGAAAGATAAAAGGTCGGAGAGCATTGGGTAAGAGACACAGTAAATAGACAATGAAGTCAAAATTGAATAAAAGAATAAAAATAAAACACTAAATAAAAAAAGAAAAAAAGGTAAAAGATCATTTGTAAAATATAATGACAGACGAATAGAGTTAAAATGATTAAAAAAAGTAGAACACAAAAACGATGTAGTTAAAAAGAAATAAAAATTTAAACAATTTTAACGGTAGCAAACTATAGTAGACAAATGGAGTAAAAAAAAGAAAAAATAAATAATACAAAAGAAAGAAGGAAAAAAGAAGGGTGAAAAAAAAGCAACATAAAAGAAAAGAAAGAAAGCAAAAAAGATTCATAAAAAGGGAGATTTCTGGTATACCTAGCGTATTGGTAGGTTAAATTTTTTTAACCGTTAGTTCTGCGTACTTTTTAATTGTTATGTGATTTTATACAGATTCGACGGATAAAAAATTTAACTTACCAGTATATTAACGTACTATAGGTCCTTAAAAAAATTGTGCGTTTTGGACATTTTCTACTCTTTTATATATAGTAGATTTAAGTTAAAGATTCAAAATTAGAATTTATAATTTGAAATTATAATTTATATAATCCAAATATTCTAGTTATTCAAAATTCCACAAAAATAAATAGTTTTAGTTAATTTGAAGATTATGTAGTCAAGTAACGACTACATAAGTCGGGTCGTTACAAATATAATAAAATTATTATGTTCTTTTATTATTTTCATCTATTTTTAATCCAAATGAATCAATTTTCTAATTAAGTTAATTTAAGTTTCAAGGTCTACAATCCACAAATTATGAACTTACATAATAATGTTATTGACTTTTGATTTTTTTTTTTTTTTGCAACTGAAGTTTAAAATATGAGATACTTAAAAATTAACCTTTGGGGTATAATTAAAATGTTTTCAAAAATTTTCTATAACTATTATAAATTGAAAATTTTCAGTGAGGACAAACTAAAGGAAAAAAATGTAAAAAGAAAAATTATTGGGGCAAAATTAAAGGAACCTTTTTTAGCAACGGCCTCACTCAGCCTAAGGTGGCTCCACCAAGTCATTATCAAATAGGAGACGACTAGACATAACAAAACTTGGGAGATTAAGATTAATTAAGATGTATCAAGGAGAGTTAATAATTATTTAGTGGTGAAAAAGACTATGGACGTGAACAAAGCTGAATTATGTAATAATGACGAAGTTAGTGGGACAAACAACAATGATATTAGAGTTTGTCATTTCAACTAGTGATTGATACATACACCCACGAATAAAACTAAAAAATGTACAAATTCATTTGGAAGCATTATATTAGTGGCTCGCTTTTGATTTTGATATGGATGTCTCAAGGATTTAAGGATGCGTTTGGCATTTAGGATTTGTTATATTGGACTTCTTTGGGAGAGGATTAGTGATTAGGATTGAATTAATTTAATATTTGAACTTTACTGAATAGTAATGTGAAATCCAGCTAAAAATTGGGTAAATAATTAGTTGTTTATTTTTCCATATGCCTAAATCACGTTCACATAGTAATAAGTTTCTCCCAAATGTTATTAGTTCCTTTCCATTATTCTTTTCCTACCGTTGATAATATATTGTAGGATTTGATTTCAAGTTTTACCTTCAAAGTCAAAAGTCCTAATCTACTTAATTGTGGATTTGTGGGGATGAATCTATTGAGTTTTGTCGTTGTTGTTGTTAATGTTATTTTAACATTTTATTAATAAAAAATAATGAGAAACTATAGTTGAGTGTCAGAGTGTGGTTTATTAGTGTAAAATGGGTGTCCTATTACTCTTGAGAATTCCAAATCTTAGCCCCACGTTATTAATTTAAAGGATAAATTTTATAAATTCTTTGTGAACTTTATCACTTGTGTTAATATGCTTCCTAAACTTTAAAATGTGTATGTTGTGCTCCCTGAATTTTGTCACTTATGTCAACATACTCATTGATGTTAACACCGTTAAGTTTTTTTTAATGAAAATACTTATAAACACCCTCTGAACTTTGTCACTTGTATCAATATGCCTCCTGAACTTTAAAATGTATCTATTTTGCCCCCCGAATTATGATATGTCTCCAACTTTTTTCCTTTCATCTTGATTCTATCAGTTTTTTGATCAACAATGTTGATATAACCATTAAATTACTAATTATATATGATATTTGACTATTAAAGTTTGTTAAGTTAATGAGTTGCTTAAAATTTGTGTTAATTCTTTAAAAAAAAAAGTACAATAATATAAATGACATGGACGCATTTAGATTTAGAAATGATATATGTGTATAAAGCATAGACATGTTTTATATCGAGCACTTCTATCTAGGTAAAATATTAAGAAAAAAACTAATAAAATTCATTACATTATACATATTTGTTCCTTATTTTTTTTTCCTTCTTTATTGCCTCTAATCAACTAATGTTTTGAACACTACTACAATTTGGCTAATTTCTGACGAAATTATTTGTGACGACATGTGTCGTGGCAAATATTTACTTATTTGCGACGACATAACGTCGCAAATACATTTCGTATAACATGAGAATATTGTCGTCGCTAAAAATTCACACGTTGTCGTAAATATGTAGTTGGTGGTAAATGTTGTGTGGTGCCAACGTTTGGTGCCAAAATAACATTATTTGCAACGACAAGTCGTCTCAAGTAATTCACTATTTGCGACGACATAAATCGTCGTAAAAAATAATTCATTTATTTATTGTCCCCCGAGTAAAAAGGGGTCATTTTGGCGGTTCTCAAAATTTATTTGAGACGACATTAATATGTATCGTCGCAAATACTAATTTTGTATTCCGTCACTAAAATAAACGGCGGGGAAATTGGGCGGTTCCCCAAAAATTATATACGACGACATTAATATCAAATAATAATTCAAGAACATTCGTTATAAATATTAAATAATTAAGTTATATTTACAACGACATGTGTCATCGCAAATAGTGTAATAAGTTATATTTGGGATGACATATCGTCGTAAATAGTCTTTTTTGTCGTGGCAAAAAACTATGTCTATATACTGACGACCAGAGACTCCTCCTCCCTTTTTTCCGATCTCTCTCTCTCTCTCTCTCTCTCTCTCTCTTTTTCTCGACCTCTCCCCGGTTTTCCAACCCCAAACCCCCAAAATCTCCATCTATTCTCTTCTAAATCCTCACCGAATCAACATTATCATAAGTTTTAATTTTTTTTCATCAAAAGAAGTTTAAAAAACACAAACTCCCTGCCCTCACCGTCAAAATCTGCCGCCGCCGCCTTTTGCCCCCCTTAATCTTGCCGTTTTCAGCCCTCGTTTTAGTGAATTTAAACTTTGTAAGTTATTGCATATTTATGGTATTTTTTAGTTTAAAATGTTTAAGTTTTTTGTTGTTTGAATTTTGTATTATGGATTTTACATTTTGAATTTTGTATTATGGATTTTAGATTTTGAATTTTGATTTATAGATTTTAGAATTAGTATATAATTTGAAGTTTGGATTATAGATATTGAATTTTTTATTATGAATTTTGAGATTGTTGAAATTTGGTATAAGTGTGTGTGAATCTCTTAGTGTGTTATTTTATAAAATCTACTTATAATTTGATTTAGGTTAAAATTAAAAGTTTTGATGATTGTTCTGGGTGGCACATCTTACAATTATGGTGTGCCGAAATCTTTTAAATGTTATTTTTTTACAGGTTTGAATTTTTGGATAATAAGAAAAATATGTGGTTATGCTGCCGAAATTTTATTAAAACCTATTAATTTTAAGAATTTCATTAATAAGATTTAATTATATTAATAGAAAGTAATTTAAAAATTAATTATAAACATTATGAGTGCAATTATTCATAAAAATTGATAAAACTTATAAAGTTAAAACATGAACTATAAAACTTTCTTTATGAGCGTGACTATATAGTCACAAAAAAACATGAACTATGATTGAATGTGTTGGAAGATATTGTTGAAGTACTATACATAAACAACAATTCAAAAACTTGAGGAGAAAAGAGCAATGAGGACCTTGCTGTGATCGTTTTATGTCCCCTGCTTTTCAGGTTTAATTTCATTATGTCTTCTTATTTTTTATTAATTGGTTTATTTAATTATTAAGTATGTTACTAATTCATCTATGATCATTACTAGAAAAAATCTACTACAAATTAACAAAACCGTGACAGTCAAAAGTGGTATAGCTTCCATGGTAGAAAGTCATACTCCCAGCATCATTTCGATAAGGTAATACTAATTTGCATACTTGTTAAGTTTTTGTCACTTTAGCTTAATAATTATTCTAACACGTTCAACTTGATTAGGCAAATCCTGAGACCTAGGAGCTAAGATCATTAATTGACAATTGGGGTCGCATGCACCATCATGGGCAGAATTTTGTCAATCCGGATGCGGAACAGGCATTTGTAAGTAAATTTCAAAATTTATTTCTTTTTTCATATTTAACATAACATATTATACTATTTTTATTCATTTTTATTTCATTTACCTTTGCAAGCTCAGATGAAGGGAGAAAGAACCACGCAAATGACACAGTCTGCTGGCGAAGGCTCATCCACGGCGGTCAATTACACAACACTTACAACTAGAAAACTCGAGAAATGGAGGCGACTAAACAAGAACGAGAGGGATCCGCCAAAGAAGATGCATGGAGGCAAGAAATCTAGGGTTAGTATGATCAATTAACAAATTAAGACAACTTTGTAAGTCTATTTTTGAAATAGAAAAATCTAAAGGATCCGATTCGACACCTTTGCCTTTACCAACACCAAAGGGCCAGAGTCATTTGATTAACTTTACATTTTTCATGAAACAACACTTTATACAGTAGCTGTCCCCTAAAAACAGGTGAAAATTCTGTAATGGGTAAAACAACACTCCTAGTTCTCTTTGAAAAAGAAAGAAGTCTAATAATATTAGAGGTGAAAAATATATGGACCCTTTGAGAGTGAAGTCAAAGAGCATATTTAACCTTTTTACAAAGTAGTATTGTGCTTTAATATTTATGTCTCTCCAAAAGATGCCAAAAACGTGTACAACCCTCTTTAGTTCACACATGATCTGTTTGCTTCAATTTTGTGTGACAAAAGTTTTTGATACAATGCGAGAGGAAATGATGATAAAACGGCCATTATACACAGACGGCATAGATATATGTAGCCATTTCTTTGCACGACAGAGAAAGAAAACTGTAATGTTGAAAGTAAAAGAAGAAAGAGAAGTAATAGTGGTACTAATTGTTTAGAGAAAGTCTCTTTAGCACAAAAGAGAGAAAAATAAATAAAATAATTTGGGAAAGCCATTAATGAAGGCTGTTGGACGCTTTACACTAGTGGTAACTTGCAGGCTAGGTTAATGCTCTTATCCTACTTTTTTGTTACACCTGTTTTACCTAATTGACATATACCTTTCCAATTCAGACGTTTTTGTTTCGCATTTTATTTGCCAGTTTAAAAGGGGGACAGTTTTATGGCATGGTTTAATTATGTACACAAAGAACTTTTTTACCTAAAAAAAAAGTTTCGAAAAGAAGCGACCAATGTTAGCATACTCTCTTGAGTGTTATCAAAAAAACTGTCTCAGAATCTGACGCAAATGTTAATTAACGACCATTATAAACGGCGGGTTTTATACCCCTTAATGAGGAGTGCATCACCTCAACTCTATTGAGTGTGTTAGCATTCAAAATACGCGGGGACGTTATTCCAAACACGTAAAATCGAGTATTTAAATGACAAGAACAAGCCTTCACATTTAAGACCCTAATAGAGGACAACCAAACACTCAAATCTTGTCCAACGACGATAGTCTTTTACCTAGGACACCATACTCAGATGGTAGCTACGCAATACTATATACTCTACTAATTGTTTTAAGAATTTTCTCAACCATCAAATGTTTACAAAATTTGCACACTGCACTTAACTTCAAAATGGCTGTAATCTTTCGAAAACAAAATAATTAAATAAATAAAATAACTGTAATGTGGTCTCAAGTTCAAAAAATATATATAGTAACGGAAGTACTCCCAAGTTTTCAAATTTATAAAATGTTAGATTTAATTATTACAGAATTTTAACTCAGGTCAAGCCAGCTCCTTATGGTTTAATTTTTATTCTCCATCTAGTACATGTCTATATAGGCAGTTCAGTCATCAAATTTTTAATTTGGTTAAAGTCAGAAATATGAAATTATTTTCTAAACTTGATCACCCAAACTTTTGCTAGAAATAAATTATTTCTTCAATGAAGATACAGGAACAATAAAGCACACATTTATGTATGCACATTAAGTACATAATAGAAAAAAACACTCAAAAACTCACACACATGTAATATAGACATGTATATATACATATATATAATGTATACACATATTCTGTAACTGCATATTTTTATATATGCTAGTTTACACACGAAAGATGAGAAAAAGACTCATACATGAAGGTGTATACGACAATAACAAGGCCACACACTCATAAGGTGCGTACATATATATCTTATTTGAGCGCATTTACAACAGTATATAAGTGGGAAATATTTGTGGATACGTAAGATCACGTATATACATAATAGAGATATAACGTCCATTGTTATATATATAAATATATAAATATATATATATATATATATATATTCAAGTTAACGTTGCAGACTAATTTCCTCAAGATCATCATCTAGTAAAGAGAAAAACACTTCATCAAGGCAGGACAGCTCGGTTCCATCGTCATCGTCATGGCAGAAAGTTTGTCGAGAATTATCAGTAATATCCTTTCTTTCATGAACTCGACATAAAACCCATATGCAGTCCTGTATATATATACCAAATATATATGTATATAATAATTATCAAGCCATAAATTTTTATGGTTAAGGATTCTTTTGAATAAAAATAAACACACAAACAATAAAATTTAAAAGAGATAATTAATTTATATATATAATTATTGAACTTAATATAATATAAGTCAACAGATATGGAAACACTCATGAAAGCAGTGTAATTCATGTTCAATTAAGGGATGATGTGTGTGTGTGTGTGTGTGTGTATATGTGTATATATATATACATATTCATTATCTCAACCTCTCATCGGAGTCCTAGTTATAATTCCAACTCTCTGAACATTCCAAAGGTCAGAATATAGCCATAAACAAGATATTACGGAGCAAGTTCAATCAGGTAACATTTCAATCATGCCAACTTTTGTCGAGAATTATCAAATAGTTTAATTATATAGATATAGTTGCCACAAACAAGATTAATGAGAAACAATTAATTACCATTACCATTAGTTTTTGTTTCCTTTGTCTTTTGTTGTAAGCAGCTGGGGCGGCGGCGGCGGCGGCAGTAGTAGTAGTGAAGGAGTTGTGGCAGAGATTGAACTCTTCCATAACCCAATTGGTTTCAGATTCACCATTAATGTAGAAAACAAGGTATTTCTTCACTCCCACTTTGTTACCGGAGCTAGTGAATATAGGCTCATCTATATCTAATTCTTTCCAAAACCCATTTGCGGTTACTCTATCTTGTTTGACTTTGCTAAAGAAGTAGTGCACATTTCCGCTGGACAGTGCCATGCCTGATCATGATCATATGCACCCAAATTTGGTTAATTTGTATAAACTTAGCCTAGGTAGTAGTTGTTTGTATAACAAATAAAAATTTCTATTCGTAAGATACATAAAAATAAGATTAAATTACATATTCTATCTCATTAAGTACCTGACTAATTATTAAAAGTATCACTTTTAAAAAACTCTACCTCTTTACTAGTTCTAGTCTAAAAGGTAGAAATATATGGGTTAATGTTAAGGGGTAGAAATAAAAGCGGGCTCCATTTCAAAGGGTATTTTTAAAAATTTCCCTAAAAATAATATAATGAAATAACTATAAATATTTCTAGTGAAAAAATTTCATGTCAATCAAACGCGCTGACGGAAGTGGCAATACAAATGATTTATATCTGTTTGTGTAGTAGTTTTAGATGTTCATTTAGTTTGTAAAGAAAATAATTATTAATTTCGCAAATTCGGATGTAATTCTAATAATTCACCAGTAACGGGGTATATTTTTCTACTGCAAAAGTGCCCCATAATTAATTAACAAAGACATAAAAAATCATAATAAAACAAAAGAAGATCACATACCATTGAGTTCCCAAGAAACAAAAACAAAAAAGTAAGGAAAAAAGTCCTTAATGGAAATATTTCTAAACCATTAGATTTTCGATTTATTGTATGTAAATAAAAAAGTTGATATACATACTCCGATTTAGATATAACTCTAATTTGGTTTGATATTATGAAACACGCAGTACAAGTAACAGAGCATATATTCTCTACTACAATTTTTATTTTTTTTAAGGAAAAACAAAAAAACAAAAGTGATATGAACAAAAGGAAATATATATTCACATAGAAAAAAAAAAAAAGCAAAAGTGATGAACAAAAGGAAATATATATTCACATAGAAAAAAAAAAAAAAGCAAAAGTGATGAACAAAAGGAAATATATATTCACATAGAAAAAAAAAAAAAAGCAAAAGTGATGAACAAAAGGAAATATATATTCACATACCATTGAGTTCCCAAGGATCATGAAGACAAATGTCAATATCAGGAATTATATTGGGGTGGCATGGCAAGAGAAACACTTTATGATATAGAAAGTGAAGGACTAGTTCTTCATCTGTTGGGCAGAATCTAAATCCAGGAGGTAGATTTTCATGACTTCCGATATCATCTCCCATAATTTTACTTCTCAACAATAAGCAAGAGAGATATTTCCTTAATATTATATTTTTCTTTCTTCAGTTTTGGCACTAATTTGGCTTGGGTTATTCATCTATATATATAGTGTTATATGGAGAGAGAAAGAGAGGAGAGAGAAAGAGAGACTGGTTGAGTGTTATGATTCAAGTGTTCAATTGAGTAGGAAGAGTGAAGAAAGGCAATATGAGGTGTACACAAAACAATGATACATACTCTAGTAAAGGATAAGTCGACATTTAGTATCACTTTGTGGAAAACAAAGTGCTTGTCGCATATGATATGTATGTATGAATATTGAAAGTAGGAAAACTTTTCAGTCGTTATATCATTTATAGTGTTAAGAAACTGAATTCTGAATCATTGCGCCCCAAAAATTAAGTTTCAACTCTTACCATTATTGGAGGAAAGAAAAAATAATTATATGTATGTATATATATATATATGTATATATTGATATCATTTTCGTGCGTGGCCTACCAAGAAAACATTGGAATATGTATACGTTCATATGCTGTAGTGTAGTTGTTAGAAAAATTGAAAAAAAAAAGGAAGAAAAAAAAAAAGAGGATGATTGTACTTTATATCATATTTGACAACAATTAGCCCATTTGTCTTTTGTCTTTTGTCTTTTTATATACCGACATGCATACATACATAAAGACAACATGACATATATATCACGCGTATATATCCTTAATTACTTAGGGGTTGTTTGATTGGGAGATTTGTTCCTCGATTCGAATCATAGTTCATAGTTCGCTACAGTATTTTCTCTCACAAAAAATACACGTAAATCAAAAATAATTTTAATCTTATGATTCTAATTAATGAACCAAACGTCTCCTTAGCTATTCGCTAACCCTGCTATTAACTTGATATGACAGGAAATTACCCTGCAACTTTTAAAGCTGACCATGATTCTGCTAATTAAAATGCATCGGCCGAAAGATATAAATATAGATAAATGGAGTACAAAAAATAAGTAATCGTAATAATGCTGAAAAATAAAACTTCCGAGGAAATTACCCTGCAACTTTTAAAGCTGACCATGATTCTGCTAATTAAAATGCATCGGCCGAAAGATATAAATATAGATAAATGGAGTACAAAAAATAAGTAATCGTAATAATGCTGAAAAATAAAACTTCCGAGGTTGCGTATTAGAGATGCATGTCTCTCTCTCTCTACATATATATATATATAT